TACTGACTGATGACAAATGTTCTTGCTGGTATCCATGATTATTATTTTTTAGCGTACATTCCATTATCATCAGTTAGTCGAATTTTATTATAAATTCAAATATCTTCACAACGATTGAAGAAAGGTATAAACTTTATCATACAACAGTTACTAAAAGCTTCATGGCATTACTTACAAATGATGTTGTGTTGTGTACGTTTCAAGCATACGAAGTCGCGGGTAACAGCTGGTGCAAAATAAAAAGCTCTGTATCGCTGGTGCAAATTTTGGTACTTGCCACGACATTTGACTGCAAAGTCGACTATGAATTCGAGGATAAAACCATGCCTATAACTTTCCCTGGGTATCATTTAGTAAGTGTAAAAATGTTTACGTCTCACGGTATTGAGGACCCGACGTGATGCTGACAGACTGTATAAAACAAAACACCAACCAAATCTAAATCAAGACGATGGTTTCCTTAAACCATAAACGAATGTTGAAGTACAGAAAATACAATACACACTGAGAACCAAATTTGTGTGACGGCTTGAGTTCAATGTGTACGAGAGCGAAGTGTGTATACACATTACCTACACACATATGTTATAAAGAGATAGAAGCCGGCTCGATAGCGAAGCTCATCACCGCGTTGCCCAGCAACTCTGACGCGGCAATCTGCTGAGTTCGTTACACCAGGTGATTGAATTAATTAATTGGAAACATACTTTACTTTATTCTATACACCCAAATAATGGTTTCATTTTGAGCATACTCATTTTGGATTGTGAATTTTTTCGAATCTGTTTAGGATAGATCCCGGATCGGTCCGAACGGCGTTCGATTTTAGGTAGAGATGAAAGGTTAGGATTGCCACATATGCTGCAACATTCATTTGTTTGATAACAGCACATTTTGTACATCCCAAGGCAAGGTTTCCACCTACATGGTCATACTTAAGCGATTTTAGTCAATACCCATATAGGGCTCTTAGGGTAGTGTGGTCCTGCTTCGAAATGGCTTTCACCTGCGTACACGCAGGCAGTGATAGTTATAACTCAGGATGTATTGATTTTATCAGCATCGGTGGAAATCAAAGGTAATTCTAAAATAAATTAAAACACTAAATCGCAACAAAATTGCAATAAATAATTCTAATCAAAATGAAAACAAAATATTAAATTAAATGTTCGAACATTTTCTGGTGTAACATATTCGCAACGCGGCAGATTGCACGACCTTCTGCGTCACTGTTGCTAGGCAATGCGGTGATGACCTTAATCCGGTTTCTATCTCTTTCTAACATGTGTTGATACACACTTCTCGCGCTTATCTCTTGTACACATTGAACACAAGCTGCCAGATAAATTTCGTTTTCCCCGTATACAATTCAGAAGTGAGTATTGCAAAGATTGTATTTTGTACTAAGTACTGAAAAATGCTGACTACACCAAAAAATTATGAAAAAGTTGTAAAATAAAGAAAAACGAAATTTGGGGTCGATCTGAAACTTTGTTTTTTTAACATAAATCGTAACTACTACGTATTACGTATCTTGTCGTTTTTTTGACATTATATTGGTTTTTTGTGACATTATGTAGGTTTTTCTACAATCTACCAGATCTTAACTTAGCACTAGCTGATGGACACTTATTGTGGAATCATTTTGTAGTTGTACGTGTTGCCCTAAACGTCATGCTGCTTCAGTTATCAATATTTTGCTCTGATGTGATGTAAAATCTGCTTCAGAGATGGTATTATTGGAGTTCTAAGATGTAAGTTGTATATTATAGCTAAAAGGAAACGGCAGTGCATAGTGCATGGTGAGAATTTGTGTGCTAATAATACGTGTTGATGATACTTACATTAGTTTCTTGTCTCCTTATACACCTACTTGAGATTCAAAGCTAGAAATTAGTTGCGCATCCACTTTTTTCATTAATTCTGGAAATTACATTATGCTGAATTTCAAAAATGATAGGGAAGCAAAGAAAATCCCTGGTTGGTGAAGGAACAGGAGAGAAAATATGCTACAGACAGGAATATTTATGAGAGTGAGAAGGAACTATTTTTTAATTCCAGTCATTTAAATTTCATAGAAATTCATGTTGCGATTTCAATAGAAAATACGCCTAGATGTGAGGCATTGCGAAAATATTTGATGTGTGATGTGTCATTCCTAATTTTTCTGTGATGTGGCTTAATTGCACACTACGCGGGCGCGGTGGCGATTTCCCGTAATGCTCCTCAAAGTTTTGGAAAACCCAAAAAAAAGAAAAAATTGTAATTTATAACTTTGAACATAACCTGTTTTCAGAAAGGTCAACATATAGATACCCTATAGGGTACATATTATATATATATATATATATACAGGGTGACTTCGAGGGTGACTTCGAAGTTGAGTCATTTATTTTAACAGTGAGTAGATCTGATCAAAAGAAATGTTTTTTTCCTTTACCATTTTTCTGGTAAAATTAAAGTAACAAAGTTATAGCCCTTTGGAACTTTGAGTACCGCCCTGTCTCAATAATAATACGAGTATTATGTACTCGTGTTTGGCGACAACGGATATAATCCGCCGTATCGGTTCATCCCATCGGAAACAAAAAAGCGAAAGAATTTGGAACGATGTTCTTACAAGTATTTCATTCATTTGTATACAGTCAGTGTCAGTGAATAGTGGTATCTGTTGCGTGGCTCAAACGAAATAAAAAATGGCACATGTTTATGCGGATCGGTTTCCCAATCGAGTGCAACCAACCCCTAGTGCCTTTGTTAATGTAGTACAACGGGCTCGTGAATCTGGTGACTTAAGACCTCACAGGGGACCTCACGATCAAATACAGGTCCGCACTGAAATACTTGTCGGGAGGATACTTTATAAAACAAGGTAAAATTTTTTTTTAATTTTTATTTTTATTTTTACACACATATTTTGGTTTATCTTCCTTCTACAATCATTATCTGAAAATTAATGACTCAACTTCAAAGTCACCCTGTATATACCGGGTGCGCCATCGTTTATGTCGGTATTGAAACATCGAATGACTTTGATATTTACCAACCGAGTGATTTGGTTATACGTGTTTCTGAAACGTTAATTTTCTACAATGTTAGTCATGAATCGCTTTACACCGAAACAACGCGCCGAAATAGTCACAATGTACATTGAAAATCCTCGCTCAGTTGTGTTAACGCAACGTGCATATCTTCGAAAATATCGTGGCAAACAGGCACCATCTGACAACAATATCATTTCGAATTTTCTTGAATACGGGACAGTGGGAGATCGTCAACATACCGTTCATCAACGACCAAGACGTTCCAAAGAATTGGTTGAAGCGGTCAGAGACAGCGTTGCCCAAAATCCAAAAGTGTCGTATCGTCACCGCGCTCAGCATTTTGGCATCAGTGGATCCACGTTGCCGCGCATTTTGAAGAATGATTTGCATTTGTTTCCTTATAAGGTGCAGTTAATACAAAAAATATTGCCAACTGACCGTCCACGTCGCTTGGAATACGCCCAAACAGTCGCTCGTATGGTTGATGCTGGCGGCGTTAGTAAGCAAAACTGCCGCACTTGGAGAACGGAAAATCCACATGAGATCCACGAAATGCCGTTGCATGACCGGAAAGTGACTGGTTGGACCAGCGTCTGCGCCAAAACCATCATTGGGCCATCTTTCTTCAACGAAACCGAAGCAGTCGATGGAAATCGATATCGGTGGATGTTGGCTCATTATGTCTGCCCACAAATGCGTGAAAAAGGTCTTGATGGTTACTGGTTTCAACAAGGCGGTGCGCCATGCCACACTGCAAATGAAACAATCCAGTTCCTGCAACGAAAATTCCCTGGACGTCTGATGTCAAAAGAGGTGACATTGACTGGTCACCCAGGTCTCCAGATTTGACTCCACCGGACTTCTTCTTGTGGGGTTATTTGAAAAGTCAAGCATTCGCCAGCAAGCCCCAGACCACCACCAAAGAAAAAGTAATGGAAAACGCAGCAAAACTGGCATATTCTGTTTTGGCCAATAAAGGTGGCCACTTGATAGATCTGTGTTCAAAAACTAGACCCAATAAATTGTAAAGGACCATATTCAATAAAAATACCCGATATATAGAAATCAGTTTTTCGTTTTCAAAATTATTTCATACACAATACACAATCATCCAGATGCGATCCTACTACTCAACCAACTTTCTTTCACATCTTCTCTACAGACTACTCGGCTTCACAAAACATATACTGAATATAGTTGCTCACAATGCTAACAATGCATGTCATTGAGTCATTCCTCCATAGATAGATGGTCACAGCGATCATAGCTAGCAAACGTGGAATGAACTATTCGCACCCTAAAAACTACCTAGTCTGCAAGATGACATTTTATTATTTTTTTTTACGTTTTATGGGATTTTTACATAATAGCCGTGCGGTTCATCGATGAAAAAAATGACCTATTACATACCCCTCTCCATTCGAATTTTTTTACGGTAACAACACTCAACATTTTCTAATAGGAAAACACCACTACAACTATGCAATGGAAAATGGAAATTAGTTGAATGGCAACACTGGCTCGGTGATGCCCGGCGAACGTTATATGCTCTAGTGCAGCAGGAAACGCACGAGATGTGGGATCACCATTTCAGGATTTGTTTTCTTGGAATTCATCATGCACTGATATAAAGAAATGGAGGATATCATAATATAAAACGTCGAACATAAGTATATATTTACATAGCTTCAAGAATGTGATATAACCTTTGTTTATATGAAGTAATTTTATTGGAATATCTACACTTATCACAGATAAAACATTAAAAAAAAACGGAATTCCAGCTCAATATACTACTGGTGGATATATTTACAGTAACTTTTCAGTGACTAATTGTTTAGATTCCAGGAAGGAACATATACAACTACTAAAATGCCTACTTTATTCTCGTTTACACACAAAGAAACTCTGAGTCTAAGACACCTGGGCTATTACGAGTATTTACCATTGTCTTACCTGATTCGCGCTAAAACTGGTTCTTGGTAAACAACAATCACAGAATCTGTCACAATTCACAGTCCCTGCCGCTACTGTAATTCATAATCATCGAGACGAAGAAAAGTTTATTTGGAACACAACGATAAACAGGATAAAACACCGAATTTATATAACAGAAGATAAAACGTACTCATTTTACAGATAGCCCCATATTGTGTATACACTATACAGCGCGATTCGGCTAAAATGCGCAGGACTTGCCTGCGGCTGACTCATTCACGCCGCTCTGTGTGGATAGTTTTATCCACCGTCCGTACTCCGTGACGTACAATGCTGTTCAAAAGTTTAGAAGCGTTTCATTATGTTGCGTATATAATTGTATAATACGTTGATCAATGGTTGTACGTCCGTTGAAGCGAAGCGGCGTGAACAGATCGGCCCTTTTACACCGAGTGTTATGCGAGGCTATGCACCACAAGCGCTTGGCTAGCTACGGTGCAAACATGCAACATAAAATGCATTAAAATTAGCTGTTTTGTCAGTTGCTTGTCGGGTTTTTGCTTCCATTTTTGTGTTCCTAAGTACATTTCAAAACCATACGACAGCAAGCATTACAATTTTTCCAAAAATAGAAAATACGCAAAGATGAAGCGAGAACATTTTTTTGGCTTATTAATAAGATTATTCCGCCTATGCTGGATTGAACCTTAAACAACAAATGATGATTAGTAGCGTTCCAACTTCCAACTTCGTTATTGTAACCTGGACTGAAATAGTATACCAGTGATATAACTTTTGCAAAATATCTTCCACATCCATTACTCTATCTAAATTTATGGAAATGCACTAATGAACTCAGATATTCTAAATAAAGGACTGATGTAACTTACACGTTTTCGATGTTAGCCTCAAATATTTTTAATTGTAGCGAATAGCTATTGTAAGTCATACATCCTTTTAGTGCATGTGTTTTGGCAACTTATAAATTTGCGTCGTATTATTCACTTTATTTACCTTTCAGATCATTCGCCCTATTTATAGTCCAGGTGTTCCCGCAATAGACACAAGGATAAGAAAAAAATAAATCTAAAATTGTGCGACGTTTTAGGCTTTCCACCCTGTAAATTTTCTGATTTGTATATGTCATAGAAACACATACCTATATCTAAATTTATTTCTGGAAGGAACGCGAATTAAGTTTATTTGATCGTGATCGTTGATGAGATGCATAAACACAAGCAAAATGTGATTTATCTTCATCGAGTGATAGTCGGAAACTTGGCCTTGAACTACATTTATTGCATGTTGTATTTTTTGCTTGTACCGACCATAACATTGATATTTTTTATTGCATATCCTGGATTGCATACGCCAGAGATTGCTAGAGGTTTTGTGATTCAACAAGGCCAGTACGGGCCGGTGTTCCTCAGGGTTCGGTGCTAGGATCAAACCTTTATTCGCTTTTTATCCATGATGTCCCTTGCCCCAGCAACTGTGAAGTCTACCATCTATGCTGACGACACTGCACTTGTCGCCCAGTCGTGTACTGGTGATTTGGTTCACGATGGATTGCAGAGTTCGGTGGACGAAGTACTGGAGTGAGCGGAACGGTGGCTGATTAAAATTAATCATTCGAAAAGGCTATTTATTGTACCACAAAAAGTCGCTGCCCCCCAGCAGAGGTTTCTGTAGACGGCAATCGTGTACCATGGACAAATTCTGCCAAGTACCTCGGTGTCACCCTTGATAAAGGCATGACCTGGCAGAAACATACAGCAGCCTTGAAAACAAAATTCCAAATTGCGTTTCGGCAACTGCGAGTATATCCTTTGTTATGTGGATCCTCCAAATTGAGTTTGATGAACAAAGTTCGCCTATATAAAATGATTATTAGACCAGCCATTACTTATGCATGTGCGGCTTGGTATTTTCTTGCCAAGACACACATGCAAAGTCTTCAAGTACTGCAAAGTAGAACTTTGCCAACAATTTGCAACGAGACACTACATAGAGACCTTGACGTTCCTTACTTGAGGGATTATGTCAAGCTTCAGGTGCGACTCAGTGGACTACACAGCGGAGCAAGTTCGTAATCATTCAAGGCCACGGCTCGCACTGTAATCAAAAATTAGCGCAAACTATCCACTTCTGTTTTTTTTTTGCTCTTGTCCTTTTTTCTTCTCTTTCCCTTTCTCCTTTTCCTTGACATTGTCTGGTTTCTGGGCAACCAGGACTGACAGATTCGACTAACGTACATTAGACAGTGACTAATAAATGGGCAAAGGTTCTACGGACCGCCCATACAAACAAATGACGAATAGTATTAGGTTTTGACGTCCCTGAAGCAAGCACGTACCCAGGGCGGGGGGAAGAGGGGCAGCTGCCCCCCTTTTCCCCCCAGATCGGCAAAAACGAAATGGTGAGAAATTAAAAAAAATGAATTATAAATGTACAGGATAAAGGAATATTTATTAGATGAGAAATTACTAGGATTAGTTCAAATCTATGTTAGGTATAAACTTAATTTTGCTAAAAGCACTAGGTACATATACAGGGTGACTTCAGTCATTTATTTTAACAGTGAGTAGATCTGATCAAAAGAAATGTTTTTTTACCATTTTTCTGGTAAAATTAAAGTAACAAAGTTATAGCCCTTTGGAAGTTTGAGTACCGCCCTGTCTCAATAATAATATTATGTGCTCGTGTTTGGCGACAACGGATATAATCCGCCGTATCGGTTCATCGCGTCGGAAACAAAAAAGCGAAAGAATTTGGAACGATGTTTTTACAATTATTTTATTCATTTGTATACAGTCAGTGTCAGTGAATAGTGTGTTGCGTGGCTCAAACGAAATAAAAAATGGCACATGTTTATGCGGATCGGTTTCCCAATCGAGTGCAACCAACCCCTCGTGCCTTTGTTAATGTAGTACAACGGGCTCGTGACTTAAGGTGACTTAAGACCTCACAAGGGACCTCACGATCAAATACAGGTCCGCACTGAAATACTTGTCGGGAGGATACTTTATAAAACAAGGTAATTTTTTTTTTATTTTTACACACATATTTTGGTTTATCTTCCTTCTACAATCATTATCTGAAAATTAATGACTCAACTTCAAAGTCACCCTGTATATGTTACGTGTCTTTCAAATTCGAACCTCGCATCTGAGATATCTGAAATTCGTAAAGCGAATGTCCACGATCAATATTTACTGTGTTCCGTACCATCAGTGGTTTTCTGCGTAACGTTGCGCCTCAATAATTACTGACGTCCAGGCTACACGGTCAATATATAATAATAATAATAATAATAATGTTTATTGTCATATCTCATAATAAATATATTGACGAATCAAAGTAAATACTGATCTTGAGACATTCACCTAACCTAAACGAAGCGGAATACTTATGGGGGCAAGTTGCGTAGGTAAATAAAAAAATGGAACTTGGATAGTTTGGAAATTCAAAGTACATATTTCCGAATTTACTCTAACTCGTTTTTATTTTTTCATGAGATTGGTCTGAAACAAAAATTTTCAAACATCTACATTGTCTACAAAGTTCAAATAAATTTCACAATGACATGACCACTTTTTCTCTTCTACACTCGGTGGCATAATTAGAATTTGTATCCGACGCTTCAGTTCTCAGCTTTTTAAAATTATACCGTTTTCGATGTCTTCATTATTACACTTTAATATAAATGAGTTACACACCTCGTGTTGTGTTTGGAGTTATACAATGGTGACTGGACGATTAGAATTTGAAAAACGAGTCTTGCTGGATTTCACAATGTTTCAATCCTTCAAATAAACTCTTGACTGCGTTTTAAAGTACCTTTGACTTCTTTTTGAATCTTGTCTCCTCTTTAGTTTTGTTTCCCGGTCTTGGAAATTTTCTTGTCAACGTATGAGTCCCCCACATTTATGCTTGTCACTGTCATAGCTTGTCATGGGTGCGTTACATGTTTATATAGGTATATTGATATACGTTATAAAACAATACGGCCTGAACTACAATTACAATGTCGAGAGTCTGTATTAGAAGTATAAAGTGCAGTGAAAAGGACAGTTCCCAATTCATGTGTGTGTGCAAAAGCGAGTAGCAGCTGCGTAACGGATCGGCTAGCGCGATGTGCAATTTTCTTTAGGAAAGTTAAGATACGCGCATGGTGCCATCAGTCAACCTGTTTACTAACTTATCCTATGGCATTGTGACGTAAACGCCAAAAACCATGAAAAAGTATATACGCTCTTCCGTGATGTAAGTTCTATGTGTAAGTACTTTATGGTCAGAACACGTATCTTGATTTCAAAATTCGTATCGAAAACTTCTTTGTTAATTAGCATGAACAGTAAATCAGTCGAGCTCTCACAGTTTTCAGTAACTCATACATGATAAATTTTTAACAGTCCTCGTATATAAACATCTTTCCAAGATATTTCCCTTCACTTCCGTACGTTGCGCCATCTGCTGACAAATATTATAACATCTTCGAACTTCACGTTGCACTTATTTGTGCTTACGGTTTACGGTTTCCGTCTCTTACCCGAAATATGACAAGTTTGCGTGCGGTTTGCCTAACCTATAAACTCAGAGTCGTCTCATAATATTTCAAAAATCCCAATTCGTGCGTACCTAAATTCGGCGATTTAATTGAAAATAGTATTGGTGAACAGTCCAGTGTGAGTGCAGCAAGAAAAGACCTCTCTGGAGACTCAGAACACTTTCTGTTTATGAACAACTATTATGGATCATGGTGATGAATTCTCAAAAATGTATCCTTTCTTACCACTTTGTAACACAAAATACGTCGTTTTCATGACTGTAAAGGCCTTAGCAATGTTACAGAAATCTTGAAATACCATTTCCAACCAAAAGGATAGCACAGGTAGCATATCATGTTCTACGAGTGGATAAAGAACCCAAGCGCAGTGGGGCAAAGAAATCATTACATGTAGAAGATAATGTACTAAAAATGTAAGTATTGAGCCTATAATTCTCAAGGCAACTTGGTGGTGATGGTATATTTAGGGGTTATTGCATGTTTAACTGTTAACAACAGTGAAATATGTAATTCAGCACAACAACAATCTTTCATGGAGCACTTTTTATATAATTTGTTTTTTCACAATACTATTTTCCCGCAAGACCTTGATGTCAAATACATTGGAGAATAGACCACATGGGATATGATAATGAAAATAAAATAATTAAAAAGGTATATTTGCTAAAAATGAGTGAATAAATGAATAATCTAAAACAGTATCTTGTAGAAACAAGCGACAAATGGATAAACTAAAATATGACTGCATAAAATTAACAAAATTAGGCTAGTCAATAAACTAAAACAATATTTTCTGAAACAACAAGCAATAATTATCCAAAAACAACATATAAAAACAGTAACTGAAACAACATACTTAATAGAGATCAAATGAACTAAAAATATAATAAAATGCTGTAAAAATTCATATCTATTCTGTCCTGTGATCAATAATCTATATCCTGTGGTCTATTCTCCAGTCACTTGTTTTGTGTTATTTGAGATTAATGAAAATGGTATTTTAGAATTTCCATAAATAAGTGCTCCATCCAAGATATTTTTTCTGCAGAATTACATATTACCCTGCTAAACCTTCAATAACCCCTAAATACGTGGTCATGGTTTGTTTACCATCACCCAACATGACACCTTTATCATGTAAGAAATGAAATATTTGCTGTTAGTTTATAAATTAAAACTGCATCAGCCGCAGACCAGTAGTACACTACAGATAATGAGCTAGTGCTCTTAATTACTTTCTAGTATCACCTGTGGCAATTCCACAGCTTAAGCCCATATCATCAGTCGTTCCTACAATTGTAGGGCGTGTTAATGGCCTCCTTGATTGTCATAGTTTTCTACTTCTCCGTGTCATCGCTCTATTTTGAGGTTATGTCACAAACATCTATTTGGATCAAATTGTGCTTGCTTTTGAGTTATATCATGTTTTATCAGCCTGAAATTTCCTACAATTTAAAAAGAAAACATATCTCCACAATAGGAGAGCGCTGACGCTGACACGGGACAAGTGTAATCTAGAAATTTTTGAAGGAGAAAAAGGGGTATGACAATCAAGGAGGCCATAAACGCGCCCTACAATTGTAGGGACGACTGACGATACGGGCCTAAGATAACAAGCAGCTATGAAACTCTCATGTCAGTGTTAAAAACGGCCCCCATTTCGGCGGAGAAAATCGCATGTAAATTCCCCTAGTACAATGATGAAAAAGGTTTTAGTGTTCAGCAGCAGCCAGTGTTGCCAAGTATCATGCATCCGCAGATATTCTTTGCAATCATAAAATGATATTTCATTATGATCTAATGTACTAGTAGTTTGTGTGAATCAATAATAAAAAGGAGTATGTTTGTCCAAAAGGACGCGTCAAAGTGAATTTGTAATTATGGAAATATTTACAATAAACGGAAAAATATTCAATTTTGCTGTTTTCTGGGCTGCTGCGATATAATCACTCCATTGCACTTTCAGTGTAAGCAGTGCTAAAAACACTAGACAAATACAACCTTCACTCAATCACAAGAATTTCGGTGCCTTTGTCGCGAAAAAAACGAGAGTACATGAACCTTTAAATGAGATATTTAAGAAATATTGTTCATCAGTAAAACTAAATCATTTTGCACAAATATTTTTATACTTTGCTCATTCTAAACATATTCATTCAAAAAATGTATGTTTAGTAAGGTGATTCATACCTTGTGGAGAGCGGCATATTTTCCAAGTAAGGAGCATATAGTTCTCTTTCTATCCCATAGACACACAAGCATATACATTCAAAAAAAGGTGGTGACGGTGCCATCTATTACCAGAATAGACCATTGCTGCGAAAGTGAGAACTGCAAGCTGTCGGTTCTAACTGTATGCCAGTTCGCACTGCCAGTCGGTTCACCACTGTGACTGCTAGATGGCGCCGATTCTGGCGCTGTAGTAGATACAGCCTACTCGAGATTGAACAGACTAATAATATAGCTTTCGTTCGTCCGACCACAAACGTTCTATTTGACAACTCCTTAGAACTGTGTAGGCTTGCTCTTGGTCGACACAATCGAAAGCTGAGCAACTCTGCTCTATTCAGAGTATGAGGTCTATCAAAATAATACTGCACAAAGCGACATACAGTTCCAACTAACAGCTTGCTGTTTTCACATTCGCGGTGGTCGATTCTGGTAATAGATGGCATTTTTACTACTTTACTTTTACACATACTATATGTATAGACAGCTACAAAATCGTTGCCCTGGTATTTCTTGACATTTCTGACTTTTTGCAATTAACAATGCTCTTGACATATCAAACAGTGATATCACTATGCATTTTACTTTCTACGCCAAAACTGGCGGATTTTAATGATGAAACGAGAAAGAATGAAAATCGCTCAAACTTCGTTTCTTGACATTTTAGACTTAGAAGGGTACTTAATATTTTCAAGAAATTTTTTTATAAGGGTTGAAATTTGAGAGTTGTAGGGGGTGAGGGAGGGGATATGATTTGTTTTTGGTTAGAATATTTATTCGCTCCCAACTCCTGTAATTCTATGCATCTATTAGCCATATTTCACACATTATAGATGTACCCGTACATTTGCCTTTTAAACTTGGAATGATAGAGAAATGGTTTAGATCCGCCTACTCGTGCCTATCAAAAAGAACCGCCTGGCGAATCAGTTCGGCTTATACAGGGTGTCCAGTGGGAAAGTTCACATTTCAAATTTGAATTACGCGGCAACCGTATACGCGAGCAAGTGGGGAGAGGTCTTGATCGACGAGTTTGGCGTGCGGGTTAAATAGTCACTATAGAACGTTGGACCGGAGCGCAACGTGCTTTTGCTATCGAGGCTTACTTTAAGAGTGGTGATTCATACGCAGCTGCCATTCGGAAATTTTATACATTCGCCGACCAAGAGATGCCCTAAGTAAGAACATATTAGTCAACCCATTCTTGGCCCCACACCTACTGTATCAACTGAAGAAAATGTGCGTCGAGTAAGTGATTAAGTCATTGCAAATGCTCGGCGCTCTGTACGGAAGGATTCTGCTGCTTTGGGATTCCGTAGGTCAACACTGCATGTCATAATGAAGAAAAAAAATTAGTTTTCATCTAATAATGAATTAAAATCCAATCAGTCCATGCTTTAAAGAACAGTGATTACGTATTACGGAAATCTTGTGCTGAACGGATGTTGAATCTCGTTCTTACGCAGCGCAGACTCGAGAACGTTGTATTCAGTGATTGCAAATATTGGGCACCAATAAACCCAAAAGAGAAACATCAACAACAGCTGCATAGTGATTGACATTTTTTTTGCTCCTATTGTAAGAACAGAACGTCGATTTAATAGAAACACATTGTTTCAACAGGATGGGGCCACTGCCCATACTTCCAGAGAATCGATGGACACGGTGAAAGTACTTTTCCTCAAAAAGTTATATCGAAGTTGGGTGACATTCACTGGCCTCCTAGGTATTTTTTGTGGGGTTATCTAAAGTCAAAAGTGTATTCCAATAATCCACGAACACTAGAGGAGCTTAAAGACAACATTCGACGAGAAATAAACAACATCACACCGGAACTCTGCAAGAGAGTGTTTCAGAATTTGCGCACGCGATTAGAAGAGTGTGCCCTAAGGGATGGCAAACATTGGACGGAATGATATTTAAGAAATAAAACCCGCCGAATTTACGAATATGTTGATAGTAATAAATATTTTCTTTTCATTAAGGTTGTATTTTTTTCTTTTAAATCAAAAAGTGAACTTTCCCACTCATATGTATTCGTACTGAAGCCCAAAAAACATACGAGCCGAAAGATAACTCGCTGCAGAGATGTGGAAAGGGATAAGGTTGCCACATGGTCGGTAACTACCAGTAGGGCATGTATATATAGTACTTCCACCTCCCTAGTATCAGCATTTCAACTAAATTACCTATCACCTAGGACTCTTTTTTTGTAGGATGATATTTTTTGCTTTCCAACTTCGTCAAGCCATCTAATGCATTCTGACAAAAAACAAAGTCATAGTATTGCTTGCAAAATTTGAATCACATCTTAAATTGATACTAACACATAATCCAATTCTAATTTTTTTCAGTGAATTCACTGCAGGAGAAGCAAGGCACCTGAGGGTAGCAGTGAATGGACTCCTGGAAAAAGTAGATCTGGTAGCTAGAACCATAGATCTCCTAGGGCCGCCTTGCAGTGAAACATATTCACATTATCACTAACAATGCCAGAACACACTCCAGCCCCTACGCCCAGTAGGGCCGTTTACGGCTTTGTGATGTACCTTAGCTTCAGACTATTCTTCATCCTATACCTTTTATGGGCCTTCATACCTGAAGAATACTTTGTGGCCATGGGCATAACATTCTTGCCTCAACGTTACTGGGCAGTATCTGTTCCAGTGTACTTGCTGACTGTTTTGACAATTTTTGCATTTTTTATATATCCTGGATTTGGGATTTCAATGACGCCGGAAATAAATGATATGAGAACTATAAGGGACCAAGCAGGGAATAAAAGAAAACTGAATGGGAAGAATTTGAAAAGACTTGGGAGTATAGTAGGGGAGTGTACATGTAAGGATAAAGAAAAGTGTTTCAAAGAGTACTACGAGAGTATTCAGGATAGTATGGCAGGTAAAGCTATCGCACCATTGAAGGATCTTGATGTTTGGGAAGTTTCAGATGAATTGTATTTGAAATAAATGTGTAAAAATTACTGTTACCAGAAATGATTTTTTCGAATTCTCAGTTGTATTGTTGGTGAATCCTTGTCCTGTATTGTCATAAAAAGCAAGAAAAAGCATGTTGTTCTGCTTTATATAATATATATATATATATATATATATATATATATATATATATATATATATAAATGCGGCATGAGCCTAAATGCCGGGACACCGCGGCTGCTATGATGATACAAAAGAAATTTTGTTAATTCGATTTTTGAACTGCCTGATGTTAGTAGAACTGGGAACAGCTTCCTTTTGTAGATTGTTACACATTCTCGACACCCTCGGGACAAAGGAGCGGTCGTGTCGGTCAGTTCTGGATGTTCGAAGCTCGACACGGTTAGGATGGGAGGACAAAGTCAGGCGGGTCTGTCTGGCAGGCACATCGCGCGGCGGTATCATGGAAAAGAGCTCTTAGGAGCAAAGCCCGTTGATGTAGCGGTAGAAGAGAGCTAGATTGACGACGGTGCGAAAGGGCCCCGAGACTATCTGTTAGAGAAGAGTCATCGATCACTCGGACAGCCCTCCACTGGACAGCAGCATCGAGCATAAATAATGTAGTCGGGGAGGCAGCACCTCAAACGTGGGAACAATACTCGGGACTAAGCCTTATCTGGGTCTTGTATAGATTGAGAAGGTCATGCGGAGAAAAGTACTTCTTACCCCTAAACAAATAGCCCAGCTTTTTCCAGCAGCTGCCGCTATTGACGAGATGTGTGCGTGCCAGAGCAGGTTCTCGGTGATCTGGACTCCGACCAGCCGAAATGAATGGCTCTTTGGCAGAACTCGGCCGTCCAGCGAAACTGGATGAGCGCTAGGACGCTTTTTGTTCGTCAAAGTACAGTACTGTGTTTTGGAAGCATTAAACTGTACAAGATTGTTGCGTCCCCGAGCAGAGATAACCTCCAGGTCTCTCGTCAGAGAGGAAGTCGTAGTTAGTCTTCTTTTTCCAGCTCAGCTGCAGAGATCGGCTTGTCGCTCTGAATTCCTGCATGTAGAGGGCTGTCGTTAGCGAAGCTGTGGATTGGGTTGATCGTGAAGGAATGGAGGTCGTTGATATGTAAGAATAATAATAATAATAAGCCTTTATTGCCCAACAGCTTATCGCCAATAACAGAGCAATTTATAAAAATAAAGGTTAGCTTAAAGGCATTAAGTATATGTAACATATATATAAAATGGTAAGTCTTAACTTAGAAAACGTGTCTTACTCCTTATCTCATTATAATTGCAACCAAAAATGTCACAGTCGTTAGCAATTTTATTGGCATTGTTACTCATCATAAAAACTAGTGCTTTTGATATTAAGTTAGTTTGTGCTCTTTGACATAAAAAAGGAACACTAGCTCGTGAAGCTAACCGCGGCACCGGAAATTGCAACTGCGAGGGAATCTGGGAACAGTCTACTTGACCATGCAACAATTTATATAAAATCAATACAGAAAATTGATTCCGTCGCTGCTCTAAAGATTGAAACTCAAACTTTTGCAAAAGGTCTTTGTAATCGGAACCTCTTGAAGGGTATGCTCCAACAGTTTTGAAACTGAGAAACTTCAAAAAAAATTTCTGAATTTTATCAACAGCATCAACATATTGTTTATAAATAGGGCTCCATATAAGAGATCCATATTCAAGTTTTGACCTTATCAGGCTGAAAAATAAAGATCTGAATGTACAGATATTGTCGAAGTTCCTACAGTTTCTGATTATGAAGCCACACGTTTTCGATGCATTATAAATTATTTGGTTTATATGATAATTGAAGGCGAGTTCTCCGTCAAAGTAGACACCTAAATCTCTCACAACGCTCCAAGACAGAATCCTCCATTGTGTAATTGTGAAATATAGGATTAGTCTGTCTAGAAAAAGTGAGTACTTTACATTTAGAAAAAGGTTGTTATTTTCACACCATCTCAGTACAATGTTGATTTGTTCTTGCAACACAACACAATTCTCTGTCGAGGAACTAGTAGAGAAAAACTTTAAATCGTCAGCAAACATCAACTTCAGACAGTCCAAAGAGACACATAAATCATTGACAAAAAGAATGAACAGTAGGGATCCTAAGTTAGAGCCTTGAGGAACACCGCTGGTAAAAATGTAAACATGCGAATAGTATCCATTGTAGAAAATATAGTGTTTTCTTTCAGAAAGGTAGGAAGTCAAAATCGCAGTATAAGTACTATTAAAACCTAAGTATCGTAGCTTACTAATCAATATATTATGCTTAACCTTATTTGGAAAAATCCGTGTATACCACGTCAATCTGGCCTCTGTTATCCAATCTTTGGCATAAGTATTGACTGAACTCCATTAGATTGGTTAAAGTTGAGAGTAAGAGGAACAGTGTCGGAGCCAAGACCGATCCCTGGGAAACACCCGCGTTGACCTTGTGGGATGAAGAGGAGAACCCGTCAATTATGACGGATATTTTGCGGCCAGCGATAAAGTCAGCCACCCATCTGCAAAGCTTTTCTTAAAGGCCATAGGATTTAAGTTTGCTTAAGAGGGCAGCGAGACACAGCTGATCGAACGCGTTCGTGATGTCAAGAGCAACGACATGATCCTCGCCATAAGACTGGATGAGTTTATTTCACAATTGCGTGACGTAAGCTAGGAGGTCCCCTGTGGAGCGCTGGTGCCGGAAGCCATACTGCCTGTCGCTAATCAAGCGGTGACGTTTGCGGTAGTCCAGAAGCTCGCGATTTATGCACCTCTCCATCACCTTACTTATAATAGAAAGCAGAGCTATATGCCCTGTAGTTGTAAGCGTCGGTTTTAGATCCCTTTTTGGGATGGGTTGGACATAAGCTAATTTCCAGTTTTCTGGGAAGGTGCCGGATTCATAAAATATCTGGAAGAGACGCTAAAGAACTGGAGCAAGCGCTCCGCTGCACACCTCTTCAGTACAATCTACTGTTACAGAGGGTGATCCAAAAAAGAGTGGCGATATTTCTAGACCAAGAACTAGTCAACAAGAAAAAAACATTCAAAACTTAATATGCAAGATCGGTAGAGAATCATTGAGGGCGCCCATTCAATATGCAGAGAGATAGCAAGAGAAACACGCAGGTTAGAATTTGATGTGTACTAAAAGAAGCCCACACTAAAGACTGGTTGTCTGACGTGTCTGGCAAGGCTTATTCGCGCTCTCGCTCTGATGTAGGTGTTTCTCTTCATCTCTCTCGTACACATCAAATGCGGGACCTCAATGACTATCTGCCGATCCTGTATGTTTATTGTAATAATAAATGTAGGAACAATTCTGTATAAAGCTAGATACGTATTTTTATGGAAAACAATATAAGCTTGAAGACTATGCTATTTTACATGACTCTGTACCACATTCAATATCTCTTGATATCTGGCCTCCTTTAAGGACAGTATTAACAACAGCCCTTGCTAGATATCCTGTTGATCTAACGTAGGGAATTTCAACTAGACATGAAATTTCCTCCTCTTGCAAATCATGATCCTGAAAAAGATAAGATTCAGAATTAGTCGAAGGTATTCTGCTACAAGTAGGTTGAGTAGCCAAATAGGTGTATTGAAAAATAATAAAATAACACAATTTAAGAAACATCGAACATTTGATTTGATTAGTAGATTTTACTTTGAAAGTGTTCCAGTGTAACGGGGGGAGTCTAACTCGCCAATTTTCAGAGTTATAGGGGAAGCTAAGGACAACATATGGAACATCTATATATAAATACTAACTTTGGCATACATGTGGGCTGCATCCTTCATCAACTGTTCCAAATCTAGCGGCTGGCTGAAGGTTAGTTCTGGATTTCTACACAATATCGTCGAAACTATTGTTAGCAGTTCGACAATTAGCTGGCGATATTCTGGTTGTTGAATATGGTTCAACATCTGGAAATATACATTATTCTGCAAATGTTGCACCAAAGCTCAAATCAATCCAAACCTCGCTAATAAATTGTTAACTCGTATTTTGGCAAATGTAAAAATGCTAATTTTTCCCAACTGTTTTTAGTAAGAAAATGGAATAGACGAACCTCTTATATTCGAAAGAGTACTTTATGGTGCTCAAAGTAAATACATTTTAATAATCTTAACTAAGCGATACTAGAAAAGAAATCTACTTCGCCACGAACAAAAGCCTTACGATTTTTATGAAGTGAACTTATACCCGTATAAAATAATGTTTCCTCTTGACCCTCAAAAAAGTCGTCGACGGCTATGTTTAGGTCATAGTCTGAGTCAAATCGGCATCTTCGAAGATTTTTCGTTATAAATCTAGAGATAGAAGTCAGACGGGGCCGAGTCCGGACTATAAGGAGGATGGTTTAACAGATCCTCAACGAAGCTTCATTCCTGCAGAATTGGTCTAATTTGGAAGCCTCATGAACGGCCGCATTGTCATGAGGCAGAAACACTTGTCGATTTCGAGAATTGGGTCTTTTCTGGTTGATGTCTTTAAGTAAATTTGTCAGCGTGTTCGCATATACGTCTGCCTTTATTGTTTTTGTCTCAGGATCCCAATGAGGCACTCCAGTCTCGTCGCCCATCACAATTTGTGTGAATCGCTGGTTAAAGTTTCCAAATGACTTTCTGAAATTCCCAACACGCAGAATTTTTGTTCAGGTGTCAGCAGTCGTGAAACCCACCTGACCGACACCTTACTCATGTTCAAATTGTCGTGCAAGATGGTTATTACACTGGGTTCAACTTTTTGAGTAATTCCACCATTTGTTGCTGTTTTGGGTCTTCAGCTTCCGGGATCGTCTTCTATGAGTTAACGTCCCCATCGAAACTGTTTAGACCAAAATTTCTTTGTGTAATATGATGGTGCCTCATTCCAATATACGGCAACCATTCTCTAAAAAATTGCTTTCAGCTGAGGACCCCCTTTTGTCAGACATTTTATGGAACTGCGATACTCACTATTCACTTTATACACTGGAAACTAATAATTACCAAAATTAAACAAAATTTTGCTAGCAAGATTAGAACACACACTATTTGACATATTAGACTTGTGGATTTCAATATTTTTTTTTAGTGCTAGGGAGATTTCTGTTCTAGTGTCCCTCGTATATAAATGATGTGATTGACTCCAATTTCATGCATACCTCTTCGACGAGCAATGAGAACGTCAACTCAGACTTCGTCATATTCGAAAGGGTAGGCTGTTGAGGGATTGCATTTCCAGCAACTCTGATACCATGTGGAGTTCTGGTCATAACGTCCCACACTTGATTATAAAAGGAAGCAGGTACTCTGCACAGACAGCCCTCCAGTTGTCTTTTTCGTCTTGGAGTCAGCCTAAAAATAATTAATTTTTACTGTATATACAGGGTGTACCAGAAGTCGACGTCAAGCCGGAAACGGGGGATAGGCCCTAGTGATAATAGTTATCAGAAAAATATAAAAAAACTACTTTTCAAATTACTATCACTACGTAGATGTAGAATGACACATTCCGTGCTCTGTTTAAAAAAAAAATGAAATTTGTAGTAATGGGAACTAAAAGATCGTCACAGGGTGTATATATTTCCGATTTTTTTTTGAAAAGTACATGACTTAGCTCAACTATTATGACTTGGCCTATCCCGTTTCCGGCTTCTGGGACACCCTGTATACATTTGTACATCTTGAGCTTGAGCTGTAGAGATCAGATGGCGTATATGTACTTACCATTAGTTATCATTTCACAGCTTAAAATAGATTTGCTCAAGTGTATGTATATTGTTATCAAGACATAAAACGGCAACAGTGGCTTACATCATTGATGTCCAAATAGGTGTAACACTAGTTTGTTATACTTTATGAATACTTACAATTCAGTGTTGCCCCACTCCTTTATCGAAAGGACTCTGTACAGCAACTGTCTAACTTCATAGGGGCTGTGATCCTCGAGCTTTTTATCTTGCCCAAACAAAGTCAAGTAATACTTCATCGCTTCCAATACCCAGCCTACTCGTATCTTTAAGATACCCCTAAATAGTTCAGGGTTGGTCGATATCAATCTGCCGCAGTATAAAATGATCTCCTGTTGCAATACTGCTTGTATCACATCGTACGGTTGAACTGTGTTGTACATTACAGATTGAATTTCAGCTGGGGTCATTGGTTTGTCGAAGACTGTTTCCTTTTGGCCTACCACTCCTACTGTCAGCTGAAAGTGGAATGACTTTTTGCAAATCTAATAGTTAGACACTTTATATTGGATACAATCAACGAATTCAGGCTAGATAGAATGACCAAGCCAACGATTTGTTTGTTTCTAATATCTCAGTCTCTAGTCAGGATTAAAGTGCTTACTACAAGTGTACTTGACATAAGTTAATTTTTGGCAGTTCTGTCCTTAAATTCATATTTTTAGTGCTATTCCTTGAAAGTGCGAGTGCTTGCAGATAACTACATATCGTGTACCATTTTGAGGACATGATACTTCTTGCCTAATGAAGGTAAACCTTCCTACTGGTATTATTATGTTGATAGAACGTTGTCACTTTGGTAGGTAAAGGTAGTTAAATGAGTCAAACGTATGCACTAAAACTACGCAATTTTCGAGACAAACAATACAATGTAAACAGAACAGTACAGAATTGGCTTCTTCTAATATATTCGAATTCGTTGTATGCAATCAATTTATCGTTGATTGTGAGGTTTAGAATTTTTGTGTTTCCACTGAAGCAACTACTTACTAATAACATACTATTTTACTTCTTGCTTCCTCTAAGCACCAATCGAGAGAGATGTCGCTTAAGTAACGCATTCCACAAGTAAAATCTAGCCAGATATAACAGAAGTTTTATATAAACCAAAAAATTCCCAATACATAACAATATTGTATATGCGCAATGACGAAGGATATGCGGAAAGTCACACCTTGTATACAAACATATCGAGTTTCATGATCACTTGTACGCTATCAACTTTCTGGCCACACTTTTTGTATTATCTACAGCCCCCCTGAAAGGAGCTGCTTCTACTTAACCATTTCATATAATACAAAAATACACAATGACAACTGAAGATAACATCTTTGATCAACTGGTTGAGCAACTCCAAACCGGCTAGCAACGGCAATGTTGACAACCGTTGAGCAACTGGTCGCTTTGTCATCTCGTTGGTGTGAAACGTTTGTATTTGAATCCATACCTACGGCCGCTTTCGGTGGGAAGCACCCCTTAGAGCTCTGCGCAGGTATGTTTGTTCTCAAAACTGGAAAACATTTCCAAAGCGATAAGCAAATATGGTATTTGCATTGTTTTACACTGTTAAAAATGTAATATTTGCGTATCGTCATTGATTAACGTATCCAACCAGAGCCTTAAAAGGGATCTGAAAGGTTCTAGCACCATGTATGAGACAGTATGCTCTGGTACCGAAAAGGAAGAGATGTGTTTTGCTGCTCTCTTCCTTTTCAGTACTTAAAAATGGCAGAACACAAAAATGAATTTAGAAATATACTTTGAAATGAGTTAAGAGTGTTTGGTTCTTCTACAGTCTCATCGATGATGCTAGGATTTTCAATCTCTTTTTAACGACTCTCTAATGGGTGGGTGTAACTTCAAGCATTGAAAATGTATTTCTCCTGAAGATACCCAACTAAAATAGGCATTAGGGAGGCGCCAAAAAGGATGGACAATCCTGGTGGCATCTATGACACAGTAGTGGAACCAAACACTCTTAACTCTTTTCAAAGTATATTTTCAAATCCATTTTTGTGTTCTGCTACTGACTCATAGATGGCGCTAGGATCTTTCAAATCCCTTGTTGGGGGCCAGAATTCAGCATATGGTTGACTATCTTGAGGTAGAATACGTTAATATTTGGTGTCGTGTAGACAGCACCAAAAGTAAAGATTCTTATCATGTGCCTACCTATACAAACAATGCCAACCACATGGTGTTTTAATAGGAAACAATTGAAGAGCCAAGCTCTAATAGTAAAAATAGTGGCTGCCTCTAATTAGGGAGGAATAAAAACCGGCACAGCTAAGTCCTTATTAGACGTTCTTGACCACTTTGAAATTGCTCACAGGGGTGAACACTGCAAACCTCACTTTTTTTTTAAATTGGTGGTTGTGTTTGTGGTTTGGATGGTTTTGGTTAATGGATTTTGGTTCTCACCTTCGCATGTGATTTTTATTTTCAAACTTCTTGCAGGGGTTTATATACTCAGTGATATTAGAAGTGTAACACCCAGAAAAAATAGTATCTTTAACTTGTTTTTTTTGGCAATGAGGAAGTCTTACATCAAGAATGAAACGATAACATTCTCACGAAATTTTATTGACAAGTAATAAGAATGTGTTGGGCACCCCGCAGCTGAATACACTCCTGTATACGTCTAGGCATCGACAAAATGAGATGATCGATGTCTGGTTGTGGCACCTCATTTCAAGCAACTCGAACTTCGTGGCAGCGTCTGTGGCGGAAGTGGGCAGCCTCCTCCCATCACACTGCACAAAACATTAACGCATGCTTCTTGAAAAAAGGACCTGTGGACGGCCCTCTAAATACGGCAGAAAAGTGGTTTGTAGGACATCACCAACATAACGCTCAGCAGTCGTATTTCCTTGAACAAAGAGAAGGGGTGATCGGCTACCCTAGGCAATAGCCCCCCAAACCATTACTCCAACAGTCCTGTGTACATGCCTCTCAACAGCAAATAAAATATCACGCCGTTCTCCACGGCGGCGTCTTACCCTTCTACGACCATCGTGCGAACCTAGACATTCGCCGCTGAAGATGACATTATGCCATTTTGCCTTCCAATGTTGCCGTTCTCTGCTCCAGTTCAAACGTTGACGACAATGGTCCGCAGTTAGAGGAAGCACTAACCGTGGACGGTATGAAAAAAGGCCAAAGACACGAATGCGGCGATGAGTGTACGCCTAGTAACTGGTCTACCTTCTTCTTCAAACCATTGGTCAGCGATCTGAAGCGTAGTAGCAAAACGGTCTCGTAGAGCTATCGGCCCTTCTTGATGCTCTGTGGTTCGCCTCGGTTGACCAGTAGGCCTTCTTCGTGATCCTCTTCCTTCCTCTATCCACACACGCATTACCGTCATTGCAGTACAATTAACACGGCGGCCAATTTCGTGATAGAACAAACCAACATCTCGATAGGCAATAATTCTACCCCTGTCAAAGACGCTAACATGGTGATAATTTGGACGTCTTCGAACTCGAGGCATTTTGTTATGCTCAACACTAGTATAATGAAAGGTCAATAACTAAAAATATCTGTACTACTCAGCTCTCAGAAACTGATTTCTTCACAAAAACTAAAAGATGACTTTTTAACAAAGGTAAACAAAAACAAAGATAAAACGTTGACATTGTTGCGACAGCATGCTGTAAATTATCATTATGTTGCCAAAAAAAAACAAGTTGAAATTATTTTTTCTGGGTGTAACACTTCTAATGTCAATGAGTATACTATAGTTCCTAGGTTTTTCTGGTTTTTTACATTTTTAATTTACACACCAGCTCTATCTTATATGAGGATTTCTCTTCCCAATATGAACTATAGTGAGTGACATTTGCCATTTCTTATACCACCCCTCGATGGTATGTCTTTTTTAATTTCGATCTCTTGTAATGCGAGCTTTCCAAATAGCTTGCTCTTGTGTCCATAGAACAAAGGAATAGAAGAGGTCCAAGCACAGAGCCTTGTGCAACACCACTCAGCACTTCTAATGTCACTGAGTATATTAATTGTACCAGTTGGGTACAAGATATAAATCAAATTCAAGCGGATAACCAAATGGAAATGGTATTTACCAATTTCGGTTGGTATTTACCAATCCGTTCAAGCGAGTGTAGTTATCAGTTTGGTTATAAGATCCGTGACGTCGCGAATCAGCTGTTATATGTCATAGTTATCACCGCAAAATTGTGGTATTTACCCAACTCAAGAGTAGTTTTATATTTCTGGTTATTATTTGAAATGTGACAAGTTAGAATTTTGCCGGGTATTGGATATTGTTATTGTACTTCAGCTTTTCATTTTTTGAGAAAAATGATACAGGCTGACTTCAGTTTTACCATAAAGTGGAGCACCTTATTAGTTATACTCATTACGGTTGTTGGGGACACTTTAAATGTAGTTCCTGTGCTTAACAAAGTATCCTGTGTAGCCATATACCACAAGAATATTAAAATATGGTCATACAAACTCACTAGATGATATCCACCTGTATACGGTTTTGCTAATTTCTTTTTTCATCATTTCTGCTGAATCAATAAATGTTTTCTTTGACATGCGGAAAAATTTAGAGAATTGAAAGTTATCATTGCTACAAAGCCATGGTTCCATCATTAAAAAAAATCTGAAAAAAACGTTTCTCCCATGAATATTATGAAAGGTTTCTTATTTAAACTTTCCATATACAGTTGTAGACGAAAAAGCACCGATTATTAAGTGATAATAAAAATTATATAAAATATATTAAAATTAATGAGCTGGCAGCTGTCACTGAGCGACATATAATGCTTAAGGCCGTGACTAACCATGAAATCAATATATGTATTTTTACATATACTCTAGTGCCAGGCAAAGTCGTCAAAATACTGTCTGGTCTATAGAGTGGTTCAATAATCGACTGATATTTCAATATTCTGATTATAACTTGAACTTACCTGTTTTCCATGTACCAAAACAGCTGTGATAAAAGGACTGATAGAATCCACGTGGTGATGCAACAAACTGCTGGTATACCTCACGGCAGCCCAATGTCTAATACACCCTGCTTTGTGGTATATGCTCTGCAAGTGTTCTTCTACAGTGTTCTGCTGAACTTTGTATGTTCCACCTTCTCTTTTCAACAAAATACCCAGAAGTTGACACTTGGCGTATATACTTTCTATGTTTATAATTGCTTCGACGATTTCGTTAGTGGTTTTCGTGCTGTAATGCTACAGAGAAAAGATTTCAACTGAACAATGGAAACAAAGAATCAGGGATTTCGGCCCTGAAATTAACTTAAATTTCAAGTCGGTCGCATCTATGGAATTTTTGCATTTAAATATTTTAGAAAATATTTATTTTAACTTTCATCAACATTTTTATTTTTATGTTAGTACGTGATTGTCTTTTAAAAGCTAACATTAACTTATTTGGGACTGTTCCTTTACAGAGTCAGCTGCGTTTGCAATACCAAAGCTAATCTGCGGCAAAACAACATCGAAAACGTAAAAAAAAAAATTGAAAAAAAATACTCACTATTCATTTATTTGGTAAGTAATTTCAAGTTTCGCCCTGTCACTCGAAGTTGTCGCTATTCGATTTAAAAACACGAGTTTGTTCACCTTTACCTAGATTTTCAAAATTTCAACTGTGTTCAACCACACGGCTCTTCACGATAAACAAACATATGCAACTCTGATGAAAGAAACATCGAGGACGACGGCGACGTTCTGAGTACACTCGCGGCGTATCTATAGGATATTGGAGATCAGATCGATAACTACGTTATTGCTCTAAGAATGTGCCAGTTTCGGTTTTTCAAATGGGTATTGTTTATACACTAGATTAACCTAGACACCACGTGACGCCTGGTTTGGATACTGACTCGCTTAGTTTTAGTACATTATACGTTTTGACGTAGGAGGGGACCTATACGCTCTGTAAAGTCCCAACTTTGAGGACGCCCTGAATCTGAGCGCATTACCGCAACACTTTATACTTCAAATCTATAATAAAACACACTAAGAATCAGAAGACATATAAAAATGGAAGTGAAGATACACAGCGCTCACAATAAAAGAAAAAATTAAACAAATCAATACACAATTGTCATGAAACCTTAACTTTTATTTTTAATGTGAGCGCAGTGTACAACACTATTATTTTTATATACGTTTTCTGTCTTATTATGCTCGATGATAGATTTGAATTAGAAAGTGTTGCGACCATGTGCTCATGTAAATCAAGTACTAAAATAAAAAGAAAACTGTTGACGGAAGTTCAAAATAAATATGTACTAAAATACTTAAATAAAAAAACTTTATGGATCCGATAAACTTGAAATTTGCGTTATGTTCGGGACCAAAAAGCCCTCTTATAGACCCTGATTCCTTGATCAAACCACCAAAGTACAAGTTGTTATATTAGTAATTAATATGTTCTAAACAATGTGGCTTAAGACTAAAAAAAATAATAAAACCTTCCAACAGAAGTCTGTTCGATAAAAAACAGGAATTTTAAATTTAAGCATATTTTATTATTATTTTTCTTACAGAGTAATCCTTGAGTTCATCTTGGAAATTCAATATTCTTGGTACATCAGTAAGGCTTTGGTATCCTATATAGTCGTGTTCTAGCTGTCTGAAGTGGGGATAATCTTCATGCGATTCGTCTAGCAAATTCATGAAATCCAGGTGTTCTAAAAATTATGGTAATTTCATGATACCAACAAAAAATTTGCATTCTTTTTAATAATACTTACCCACACAAGAACTAGAAATGAGATTCTGCAACCTTCCGATCCTCACTTTAACACTATCGCAATATCCTTTTTTCAACATGGCAAGCAGATCAAGCATCTGCTTGAATTGAGGATCTCTCATATGTTCTTCTCTGATAAGTAGACATACGGTTGGTCTGCCTGACAGTCTCCAATACCTTCCTACAAACTGGAGCTCCGTTTTTATGTCATCAATCAACAAAGCCATGTCTCTATACAGGTAGAAGTCTGATACTTCGAATATGATTGGATAACAAAGAACTGTATTACCGGCTATGCGGTATATTTTGCTGGTACCTAAAAAAGTATGGAAAACCTTAAGAAGCCGATATCACCGAAAGCAACCGCAGCCCGACTCGGCACATGTATTCAAATGCAAACGTTCACACCAAAGAGACGTCAACGCAACCAGTTGGCGGTTGCCGGCACTGCTGTTGCTATTCGAGTTGGAGCTGCCCACTAGTTTATCAAATAATATATGTCATTTGTGAATGTTATTTTGTGATACTTTAGCTAACAATTCGATAGTATGCTTGAAAAATTATTGGTAATCGGATAAAGGTATTTGGAGAAAATTCTTGGAAGTTTTTAGCAGGATTAATGATGAAAAAATTCCTCTTCAGTAATTTTCGAATGGATTTCATTGGTGACCTTGGATTCAACCTTGATCCTAAGCTTCAAAGTCTTTTCTTTTTTTAACTCATAGACCCCCTACTAAACTTCTAGCAATGTTCCTTAGCCTCACACATTTGACACAAAGTTGACTTTGAAACAATCCTGAAGGTGAGGCTCGAGGTCATATCCAAGATCACCATTCAACTCGTTGATCAAAGTTACTACAGGCCAGACTTTAATCTTCATCAAAAATACCGGAAAAATAAAGAGCCGCTCCATTTTGTTACGCCCGGTATGTTGCTTTCTTCAAACCAGTCAAACTAAATATACCTATAGAATTTACCTAAAGCTCCTACAGGTCGGACAGGTCTACCTTGCAACTTGAGCTTATGGTTCACGCCCAAGTTCTGGTAAACCTTCACCAATTGCGTAGACGACCATATCTGCACTGGTTCCACTTCATGTGGTGTCTGCGTTTGAATGCCGTAAGTTGCCATCATTGCTTGCAGTCTCATAGATTCGGCTATTAGGACGATTTGTACCACCAAATCGGTAGCTGTGCCCTAAAGAAGAATCTATGTTGCATATTTAGAAAAAAATAGATATGAATCATGCTGGACAGAAATAGAACTGAGAACTATGCAATGCAAGTTAAAACCGTGCAAAAACCTAAGATCGCCACTTCATCTGAGAATGTTTGATAACAATTACGACATAAAGTACGATATACGAAGGTAATAAGAAAGTAAGGTCTACTATTTTTTGAAAAGTGCTATGTAATACCAGTCACTTTCTCGTCGGAACAGAATCGATTTCCGGACATTGTGCTTCTTCAACTTGGGGAACACAAAATACTGAAAAAACTCATACGCGCAATTCAGAACTGAAGAAGACGAATGTTGATTGAGCAAGGGCGTAAGCATTATCCACGACACCGCGCGCCTACATGTCGACCGTCAAATGGCCGCTGTAATGCTACAATTTGGATGGGAGAGCATCAAACATGCACCTACCCAGTTCGGACTTTGCACCTAGTGACTACCACTTGTTTCCTATGTTGAAAGAACATTGAAAATAATGGTAGTAATATTTTTTTCACATTAACATACAACATGGTGAATAAATTTAAATCCACAAAAGGATTGTGTGTGGAAAAAATACATAAGTACATTAAATAATAATATATGTTGATTAACAACATAAATAACCCTCGTATATTATACTGCGGCTTTGGGTATTATGAATTTCAAATTTATCATTATTGGAATGAAGGTTGCTTTACTCAAAAACGGGTGTATATATGTTAGTAAGATGCACTTTGGAGTGTTTCTTAATCAACGTTTTAGTTCCTTTTTGAACTTACTGCATTTTTTTTCAATTTTTCTGGTATGTTATACAATGAAAACCAAATTTGTCTGACGGTTTATTAAATTAAATGTTCGAACAGACCTCCTTCTTGGACTTGACTAACCTAACCTGTTGTATCAGCCTGTGCGAACATTTTCTGGTGTAACATATTAGCAACGCGGCAGATTGCACGACCTTCTGCGTCACCGTTGCTATAGAATGTGGTGATGGCCTTCGGTCTTCAGCCGGCTTCTATCCTTTTCTAACATGTGTTTATATACACTTCTCGCGCTTCTCTCTCGTAAACTTTGAACTCAAGCCGACAAATTTTGTTTTCCCGGTACAATAGTAGACCTGATAGATAATATGATTTTACCATATCTTTCTTTAGGGTAAGTAAAGTAATTTGAGAGTTTTTGTTTCTAGCACTATGATCATGATTCTTGTACAATATATAATTTTTGTATTTTAAGAATTTCTATTTCAGCATACAAAAGTTCACGTTTATACAGAAAAGCTGTTTGTGCTTTGTCATCCAATTCTACTAGCGCCATATTTCCAGAGCCCCAAACTGTTATGCCATGAGTTGGATGACATTCTATTAGTGCATAATATAATATTATCATTTGACAAAGCGATTTACTTTTGAAGACGAGGTGCGGCGAGTTGGTAAGATATAGACATCACATCGTCTAAAAAATGCGTCGACTGGAAATAAGTGGTTGTACTTGCAATAAACTAGAGACCATACTTTTGAGATTACCCTCGTATCTACCAACCTTGTCACTTTATAACCTGTTCACAAATATATTCAGAAAAGGAGTGACGTCATCACCGTGCAAAATGGCACCACTGTTGCCATTTCAGTAATATTTTCTGGTTAGTTGGAAGATGAATGATAATATTATCTATTAATAAATCCCATTGTTTTGCTAGCCGTCAAATGAAATCACATGTGTAATGAAAAAAATGTTTACTAACGTTTCGGTCACCTCAGCGGTTAAAGTACAAATCCAGAAAAGAATAACCACTTTAAGGTCGCATGTTCCTTTTTTCAACTGCCTGTTGGGAGCAGTATTCTAAGTCATTTTCATTTGATTATCCCATGGTGTGTATAAACAATCTTATCATTTTTTCTCCTCAAAAAATCTTTGCTTTTCTTGAAAATTCAATTTGTCGCAAAAAAGAAAAACAAAGACTTTTCGAAGAGAAAAAGTGATAACAATAAAGGAAATCACCCGCTTCGTTCTTCCATAAAAGTGGAATATTCACATTAAATTTCAGATTTGTACTAAGATTTATTAACAAGTTACGATTGAAGGAAGAATGTATAAATAATGCATTTGTTGACAAAAAAGAAATCGAAACTATTAACAGTACTCCTCAAAACAGGCTGTTGATCATTTGGCGACCAGCAAAAAAATAAAATTTACCGCCATGAAAACCACAGGATAACTTTCGGATGGTTACATTATCTATCAAGTTTTGACAACTCAACTACATTATACCCCAAGACTCTGCAACAAAGTAGATTGTTAACAGAACGAAATCAATTGATTGGTCATTGGAACAATATTAAATTTAAATATCTCTGCCTTATTTTGTCGAGGACACCTCAGTGGCTGAAATTGTGGTTACAGTTGTATCTATATATTTAGTTATATGTTCCAAAATTGGCATGCAAGGATGCTATTACAACACAAAGTTTTATAAGCATTTACATTACATTTCACATTCACCAACATGCCAATTAGTAGAACGACGCTAAATTTCTTAAGCCTACCATAGAACAAGGACTTTTTGTACACTATCATTTAATCGCCATCATTTTAGTTTACTATTATTATGGGCATGCAGCGTCATAAAAAAGTAGAAACATTGTTGTTTTGTTTAGCACAGCATACAAAGCCTACTCAAAACATTTTTATGTGAAATTAATGTCATCTCCCACTATCCATATACGCAGGTGGTTCAAATTCATCCCTCACAATTGGGATCCCGGAAACAGCTGACACGGAACAGTAGAAAACTATGAAAATCAAGGAGGCCATAAAGGCATCCTACGATTGTAGGAACGACTAATGATACGACCCTAAGTTGCTTAAATGAGGGCAAAGTTGGGTATTTAGGTGGCTAACAAAATACCGGTCAAAAAGATCAGAATATGGCACCTATAAGAAAAAATAAAGCTGATGCTGGAGGACAATTAGACGAAACGTCATATTGAAATTTTAATTATGCCAACTTGTAAAGGATAAAAAGTGGCAACGTTAGGGAAATTTATTTTGAAATCCCACTACAAATAAAGTCAAGAACAAATTAAATCGATTTTGGAAAAATCTGTTTTTTACGTCTCTCTCCGGAGGTACTTTGAATATAAAAACTTTCTAAGCGGCATTTTGTTAATCACCTAAATACGCAACTAAGCGACTTCGTATCTCTTACAGTTTCCGAGATCCCAATGGTGAGGGTCGAATTTGAAACACCGTGTATAGCTAATACATATATCGAAACAACAAACAGAAAGTGGAAGATGAATCGGGAAGATAATGGCAAAATATGTTTCAAAAATTAGTTTAAAATGATGACAAGTGCGATAAAAAGTCATTCTGATTTTTCTAACTACACAACTACAGACAATGTGCATTATCAGCTTTTTTCATTTACTTACAAAACAAGGTTTTGCCTGGGTGTAGAAGACATGGAAAAAATAATCATTTATTAAAGTGGTATAAAACAAAACAGCAATAAATCATGTTAATTTTATTATATATATAACTGAATCAACCAAACATGCTTAGTATCATCAAAATTCAAATTTAGAACATACCTAAAACCCATATTTGGGTTGCTATGGTTTGGACAGTTTGCCATCGTGCAATTCATACGTCTAACAAATTATATAATAACCCTGCTGATATGAAATTGCATTTCCCCTATTTGTTATTGGTATTCTTGAGACGACCCTCGTATATGTGCTCTTTTTGGATCCCCTTTTCACCCGCCTATGCACACACCTTACAGTATTTTACGGTGCATGTTTTACAGCGGCCGTCAATAGATGGTGCAAGTTATGCGCTCAGTATTTGTACTTCATCTCGGAATATGACTACACTTTTGACGATATGCATCTTCCTTCCTTGTCTAGGGGAGCGGAGTGTGTCAATGAGCGTCTAGTGAGACCACTTTTGCTGATACCCTATAAAAAATGCCCGCACCCACCACATGTTGGAGAGTGCAATTTTTGGAAGCGCCTCCTTACTTACAGGGGGCCGAAGAAAATTTGCAAAATTAAAAAGTCAAAAATTGAAAACTAGTGTAATGAATGACTAATGACTGACTGACGTGCTTTGCTTTCTACCTTTCTATTCTAGATTACGTCAAAGATCATTTCGGTGAACTTGTTCAATCAAAACGTCGCGTTCAGTAAAACGAATAGTTCAGCCAACAAACTATTCCAAGCATCCAAGCAATAATACCTCTAGCTTCTAGCTCTAGGGATGGCAAATTTTTTAAATATACCGGTACTTGGCAACTTGGCATCAAATGATATACCGTTAGGAAAAATCGGTTATTGGGTATATTGGAAAATTTCATACCGGTATTTTAAATATAATAACTACCGAATAGGGGCTAGCACCTAGAGTGTAGAATTGAATAAATTATACACTAACATCTAGCGAAGCAAAACACTTTCGGATAGTTATCCCTAATTAGAGATATGAGTGTTATAACTATAGCAGTGAAATTATCGATATGCTAAACACTCTTGTTATTCTGGTACGCAGTATTCGCGTCTCATGCCAGTGAAAATTCCGCCTTTCCGTCGGTTTTTTACGTAATAACCCTGCGGATCGCCGGAGCTATGCAGCATCTGGCGCGGTTAGCATATGGATGTTTAACCACTTAGCAAACACAAATTGTTGATTTTTTGTATCGCAGATAAAATCCAAGCGGAAAATGAACCTTGGAAAAAGAGAACAGAATCAGTCCTTTGTGATCACTTAGATCTTGAGGTAAAACGTCTTCTCGAGGTTCAAAATCAACTGGATAAATATTTTTGAATACCGAAAACACAGAATCTCCTGAAGTTATGACAGGAAAGAGCAAAACTATGTCCCAGATTGTCTGGTTAAAAAACGATTGTTTCAATTTCCTCATTAGTGTCAATGGGTCATATGTTGTATAAAAGTTAGGTAATTTTTATTTCTTTCAGCTTTGTAACTATCGGCATTATTTGTTATTATCGTTTTTAATAACTTCATTTTGTCCTACTCGATATCCTTGAACTAAACTTCTGCTTACTTGATTGCGTATGGTGGTGTTCCGTTTCCTATCTCCTTCTCGTTCGTTCACTCATAAGTAGTTCGCTGGGATCATCGGGATCCTGTAATACCAGTCGTTCGAGGTGAACGAGTAAACGAGTTTTTCAAGGAATAATGAATAGTTCACTTAGTTCAGTCATAAGAATCGTTCGTTTGAACTAGTTCGTTCGCGACCTACAAATCACTTCCAAACTCACATCGGCGTTGACCGCTGATAATTATCGTTGTTATTGATTCAATATTTCCCATTTTTCAGTTTTTCTTTACTGTTTACTCGATGTTTTCGCCTTCAAATGCTTGGCCCATTTAAGGTTTTTTGCAAGTCATATTGGCCATTGGCCAACTAACAAAACGATGGATCCATGATGAACGGAAATTCAGTTTTTTAAGGATCTAAATTCTAAGCAAGGTTTACACACATAATTAACAGACCAAATTACCACATAAAAATATGAGTAAAAATTTCCCACATCCCAAAAGCTGATTTTATTTTTTATTAAGGTGCTAGCTTATGAAATATAAGGTCAAAAGCTATGGTCAAAATCAGAAACCTAACACTAAAATTACCTTCGAAAAATTGTTTTCAAATTTAGACACGATCAAAAGCCCAAATATTATAATTATGAAAGGGGTTTATTTGAGCAAACATAAAAGGGCAACAAAAATATAGAAAAAGATGCAGCTTCAAAAATTAAAATCGTTAGCTCAACCAAAGCACATAAAACATAAACCATGTAAAAAAATTACTGTCACCCCACCAAATGCATTTTGATTATCCTAATATTACCTATTGATTGTATCTATTCGTAAATAAGCTAAGTAAACAGTGGTGATTGAATTTACAAACAAAGGTATTCTCACCTGGAAAGCAGAATATCTCCCTCCTTTTCTAGGCCTGTTATAAGACGGCAAATATCTACGCACCGGATCCAGCTCATTAATATGTAACAGACCTGCTGTTAAAAGCTCTGATAAGATGAGCATAGCTTGATTCCACAGAAACAGTCCACCATCAGTATACGGTTTTCTGGTGCAAGTGCCTGGCTCTTGCTTTTCTTTTTCTATGTCTTCTTCAGGAACATAGAAGTACATCGGTATCACTGGATCTGCAATTAGTTAAGAAAAAGTCGATAGATGTCTACTATATTGAAGTTTGATATATATTTCACCTCCATGGTGATCTACCATGATTCGTTCTTTCAACAGATCTTGATACTCTTGAATCTGCTCAGGAATCGTCTTGAAGACACCATCAATGATCATGAATATATAAAATAGCGGCCATTCACATTCAATATTTTCAAAATTCTTAATTTCGCCCTTTTCATAATACCTGGAATCACAAAATATGTAAAGGATATAAATAAATTTACATTCCTATACCTCTTTTTGGAATCCTCAATGACTGTTTTGAACCCGTCTCGGATGTATCTCTTGAAACCATAGTTTCCTTTCAAAGACTTCACTATGTTAGACTTAGTTTTTTGATACAGCATTTCTTCGTGAGTTGAAAACGCGGGAAAAGATATGGTAGGCAATAGTGAAGAGTCCACATCCTACAATATAAGAAAATTCGATTCACAACATTGGGATCTCGGAAACGGTAAGAGATACGAAGGCAAAGGGAGCAAAGCTGCGCTTTTCCAGAAATGCACGACAAAAAAACGTACAATCCCAAAATTATTTTAATTTTTACTTCCTACGCCGACTGAAGTATTGTATAGCGAAACATTTCGAAACTGTGATATTGTTTTTAGAATGCTATATGACATATACAAATGGTACTATAAATACGACTTAACAAACGGACACAGGAGCAAGTCTGTTGATTTAGGTGTTCAATCGTATTGACAGTGTAAAGTGTGGACTATGGCCTCGTGGTCATGTAGTGATATAAGAGCAGTTTTACGGTATAACTTTACGCGTGGTTTAAGCATAGACCAGTGCTTAGAATAAATGACGCTTGCATTAAAGACTGACTGTCCTCATCGTACGACTATATTTAGGTAATACAGAGAATTCCAAAGGGGCAATTTCATTATGGAGGGCGCTGACAGGGAAGGAAGGCCGCGAACGTCGGTAACAGAGGAAAACGTTACTACTGTGAGGAAAATGCTTGACGAAGGCCGGAGAGTGACATATTCAACAGATAGAGGAGACCTTACACCTTCATGCACCAGTAATTCAATCAATTCTGCATGACAACTTACCCGTAAGGAAACTTTGTTCTCTCTGGGTACCGCATACTCTGACGGAAGAGCAGAAGAGTCGTCGTACGATTTGGTGCCGAAGGATGCTGATAATGAGACTTGGCTATATTATTACGATGTGCCGACCAAGGCTCGAAACAAAGTTTGGGTCTTTGATGACGAGGACACACCCGTAGCTGTCAGAAAATTCCGATCTGATAAGAAAAAATGATAGCTGTAGAAGACAGTCACAGCTAAGTGATACACGGAATAGTGCCTGCCTAATCATAGAGTCTATGAAAAACCTGCGGCCAAATTCAAGAATGGACACTTGGTACCTTCACCATGACAACCCTCCATCTCACAGCGCCATAACCTGCACCTAGTATTTGACCACTATTGGACTGAAACTTACTAAGCACCCTCCTTACAGTCCAGATCTGTTTCCGCATGTGGAAAGGAAGCTAAAAGGAAACCGGTTTTCTAGCGAAGGACTTGGGACAACGAGTGTGCCACACTCCCGGGTGAAACTTAGCAGAGGTGGATTAAGGACTGGTTTTGGCGGATGCAGAAGTGTATTGAATGTGGTGGAAATTACTTTAAACGAAGTCAATAAATAAAGCTGTATTGCAAAACTTTTATAGTACCCTTTGTACATCACGAAAAACTATGTCACTCATTTCGGTCGGACTGTCTGTCGGTCCGCTAACCCTTGACCCCTCTATAACTTGGAAAGTACCGCTCGGATGTTTATTTATTTAGTTATCAACGAGCGACTGACCAATTAAAGTACAGCATAGAAAATCTAATGGAAACCTAACCCTACTTTGACTTAGATATTTAACACTTAAAATAATCACAAACACTTTACAATCCGCATCATTTCTAAATTGAAACGAATTTAATTAAAATTTGAATATATGAGGAAATCAAATATTAAATACTACAGACAGGAGTCTAATTGAATTTTGAATGTTTTCTGACTTCTGAAGAAATCCAACTTATTAGAATACTGATTTGCTAACCTTGAAGATCTAGACAGGGACTGAATATTATGAAAATCCTTAGCACATCGTTTTATAAATCCTAACAGTTGAAGAGATTTAGAAACAATCATATTTATATGGGTAATAAAGGATAATTTTGGGTCAAGAATTACCTCTAAATCCCTAACTTGAGATACACTCTTTAGAGGACAACGTTTCATGATATAAGTATGACCAATGGGGTCCCTCTGTTACGGCTGAAGACCATTAAATGACATTTTTCTACATTGAGTTCCATTCTATTCATTTGACACCAGAGACTTAATGAATTCAAATCATTTTAGATATTTAAACAATCATTATTATATTTGATTTTTAAGAATAATTTTAAATCATTTGCAAACATACTAACAGACTTAAAACAGTATATAATATCATTCACGTATATATTGAAAAGAAGAGGACCCAGATGGGAACCTTGAGGTACTCCAGATTTCACATTAATCTCATCTGATTGAAAGTTCTGTATACGCACTATTTGTTTTCGGACAGTGAGGTAAGACTTCAGCCATGATAAAAGATCCCCGCAAATTCCTAGACAATGTAACTTATTAATCAAGATCTCATGGTTAACCTTATCGAATGCCTTAGGAAAATCTGTATAAACTACGTGAACAGAATAATCTTTCTCCAAGGATTCCAAAACATAGTTTGTGAATGTTAAAAGATTTAACTCTGTGGAGCGTTTTGAAAGAAATCCAAACTGTTGGCTTATAAAACTACTTTGCAAATTTGCGGATAAAAATTCACACACTAAGCACTCAAATACCATTCCAATGCAACTCAGTTTACTGATAGGCCTATCATTTTGACTTGTGAAGGATCTCCAGATTTCAGTATTGGAGTAATGAAGCTTGTTTTCCAACATTCCGGAAAAGTTCCACTTTTCAACGAAAGATTAAAAATATAAAATAGAGGTCTAGCAATCAGAAAGCTACAGTGTTTAATCAACAACGGAGGTACACCATCAGGTCCAGGTCCTTTACTGTTGTTATGTTGATGAAATTTCCACACAAAGTTACTACTACGACAAGAAACAGTTTTGTAGTTTTTGAAAATCGGTCCGATATTTTTTATGTGGTTGAAAATTGAATGACAAAAGTCCAATTTGTAATGTGCTCATAATTCGAAATAACTAGCAACCGACGGCGCGGCACCGTCCTGGGGCGCCACTGCCGACCACGCTGCCGACTGCGCAACAGATAACAAATTGGTGAACTTGCGGCAATCTCAACACTGACATACCAGTACAAGACAAAATCCTTATGTGTTCTCTGACTATTTTGTCAAGTAGGTTGACTTAGTACTTGTGACTTATTGATATAGAACAGACAGTGACTGAATAACCGACATAAATGAGAAACACAGACTTGTGTGATGCAGGAGAAAACTTGTTAACTAAAGTTCGAACATTATCGTGAGTTCAATACTACCATCATTTAGGTACTACGAATAAAAAATAAAAATCGCTGGAACATAGTGTTTCAACGTTTGACATTCCTGCTCATTTTCAAAAATTATTTGGAGGGGATGAAAATTGAAGGTTGGAAGCTGCCTGCAGTAAACGGTTGTATAAAGCTGCTGATCTTAGTGATATTATGCATCTGTTAGACATAATAAGTCACACATACTTTCCCCACCATGGAAACAGAAATAAGATAGAATTACTTTATATAGTTTGATATGTAGACGTTTCATTGTGCCTAAGTGAACCGACTTAAACACAGTTCGATTTCGCCTTTTGAAATTGCAGATTAACATTGCCATTTTTTCTCCTCTGAAAGATGGCATAACTAACTTTAAATATGGCGTTCAGTCGTTTGTCGTTAATAGTTTTTATTTTTTGTTATGGTCACCAAAGAGTTTTGTATAGGTTTAATATGATATTGTACATACACGACATGGATTCATATTGTGAAACTTAAAAAAAATGTCTTAAAAAGTAATCTTCCTATAGTTGGTCTCAACTCATCGTATTAAAGGACAAGGTAATGCCAACTTTTTCAAATTATTTAAGATTACTATAATATACATTTTTGGAATCATTATTACAAACTCTACTGAAGTCTAATTATAGAGAAGAAAAAGTGTCAATGTTAATTTGCAATTTATTTTAAAATCCCACCTCAAATCAAGTCAATAAAAAATAAAAAAGATTTTTGGAAAATTCGTTTTTTGTCTATTCCTGGGAATATGCTAAATTGCGAATAATAATAATAATAATAAATTAACGTCTTTTTATTTTTAATAGTATTACAGGAGGCGAATCTTTCCGAGTACCATTTTTATAGTTACCTAAATCCCAACTGACCGATTCCGAGATTCCAATGGTGAGAGTCGAACTTGAAACATCTTGTATAGCAGGGCTGTCCAACTTAATGTGGTCCAAGGGCCACTTAAAAAAAATGCAGTTTGGAGGGCCGCATTATAAAATCTTTCTACTTATACAACATTAGTACTGAGTTTGTAAGAATTGTGCATATTCGGTATTTGAGAGTAATTTATACATGTGATGTATACATGACCCGTGAAGCGGGCCGCAAGAAAGGAGCGGGCCGTATGTTGGACAGCCCTGTTGTATAGGATCAATTATTAGGCCAGCCTAATTGCAAGACATCTTCATAATGAGAATTGGAAAAATAATGCTATGCCCATGTTATCTGGATGCTAAACACAATGTTTTATCAGGTACATGATATACTTTTAGTGCAAATTATTTTGACCTAGAGATTTAGAATTTCCAAATTATTATTATTTTGTGAAACAAAACATGGGGGCAAGTTATATCAAGATAATTTAATAACATAATCTTTAAAAAAAAATCTGCACAACTGGTGCTTCATTTTGAATAAGAATGTGTAATTCTACAGAACCGTTCATGCCAGATCCAAATGGAATGCATGCATGAACTGATTGAACATGTGGTCAGCAACTCTGTGTACCTTAGAGCAAGATTCTCTTGGAAGCAGTGTCTCAAAGATGCTTCTATTCCTATTATGGGCATCAATATCAACGTAAACAACACTCCAGGATGCGCCCTTTTCACCAAATAAATTACATCCATTTATTGCCTCCAAAGCAGATTTTGCAAGACCTATAGAGCTAGCATGGATTTCAGGGCTTCCATCATTGTATTTGCTGCCTCTTTCCCACATGCCATAGTCAGGTGTGCGGTACGCTCTCTCTACATAGTAGACCAGATTTTGGACAAATGCTACTTCATCCTATAATTATACCATGTGATGATTCATGTCCAATATTCTACTGATGCTTCAGTCACCTTGTTCTTTTAAAGTTAAAAAATAAAGTAAATTGACATTTTCAATTATTTTTACATTATACTTTAGAAAAGGCAACCAACCTAGCTGATGAAAACATCAGTAAAGTATTTCTTCATCATCTAAGAGTTAATTTATCTAGCAAATAAAAAAATATACAAATGGATTAGCAAAACAACTATAGGACAAGTTCCAGGAGTTACATTAACCAAGTAATGTAATAAGTTCATAAAAAATATGATGTCTTCAAAAGCATAAAAATGATTTAGCCAACTATATATTTTCCAATATCCAATTAAAGACTTGATGAGTTCTTTACTTAAACTATTCAGTGTGAGTCTGCAGGACAAGGGTCTGTAGAGTCAACTAGCGATAATTTTACCTGGGTGTAAATGATCTGTAATCCAGAAGTTATCATTTGAACCAAAAATAGTAGATATATTGAAACCACATCAATTTGAAGATGGTTGTATTCACTATCACTATAAACTTCATGTCCAGTAATTAAATGGAACTTTACATGCAAGGCATGTGCATTGCATTGGTTCTTTTTAAACAGTTCTATTCTAGGAGCCTGTTTCATCCAGCATTCTAAAATTCCCCTCATGCATTTTACTGTTGATTGGCCTAGTTCATAAGATTTGCCTCTATCATCATCAATTCTCCTATAACACCAAAAGGATGGGAGTATCATCATTAAAAAGAGTCAATATTATTGTACCACTGATTAATGTATTTCACCACAAAAAACCCAATTCAACTAAAAATCACGCATATAGTTGGAGTATTCTGGAATTTTATGAAAAATTATGATGGAGGTTGCGGGGAGGGATAATCTTTTCTTGGAAGGGTGACATTATGTTCAAGAATAAACAATTTATTAAAAACTGAATGGAGTTATTTAGCTCTGAGAAAATTACGCGGACATTATTGTGATCCTACTTAGCATCATGGCAGTGACAATTGAAATAATTTTATGTGAACAGTTAAATCATGGAGTTCAACATGACATAATGGTTAGGTATCTTCTAGGAGAGTGTGTTCGACAACTTCTAAGTTGAATTAGAGTGAAAGTTTTCTTAGTTTATACCTGTATGCTTGGTAAAGGCCCCAAACTGCTGCAGCACAATATATACTTTCTCTAACGCTTCCAACTTCTTTATCATTTGACAAGACAGGAAATAAGCCCGTAATTGGGCTCTGGTATTGCAGAAGTTGTCTTTTAACTGCAAAAGGTTCGTCTAAGCAAAATATTTTGCAGCAATTTTGTAGTAAATCATACATACCCAGTCCATAATAAATATCAAGTTGCCGAACTGTGTCTTCATAGTTGGATATCTTCAAAAATTGATCTATGTAAATACTGTCATCTATAATACTATTTTGTTTTGGAGTCCTGGAAAGAAAAACTACGAGTTATGCTTGTTAATCATAGGTAAATATGCTTACTTTTCTGATAAACCCATTTTTAAAAACTTAAAATTAGACAGGCAAAAAGAAAACAAATCAAATGTCAAATAAAGGGTAAAAAAAAGGTCATCTTTAACTTCATGTTTATAGAGGGTTACACCTAGTTGATATTTTACTCCTAAGATGGTACAAGCAGTCATTTATGCCATGTTTACATCGGTACATAACCACAGGACCGTGCATTAACAGCACATCCTTCCAAGAGATGGCGCAATATCAGCCTACAGACTGCTGCTTTTGAAACCTTTGTCGAAACTCCAATGACCATGCACATATATATATATATATATATATAGTAATCATTAATGCTGTTTTGACTTCTGAGGCCTTGTATGGCGCATAGCACACGATGTAAAATAATTAGTGCTGCGCCATCTCTTAGCATAGAGTTGTTAACCCACGGAATAATACAATCCTGTAAACATGGCTAAAGTTTCGACGTATGACAACGTCAACCTCAGTAGCCTGTCAATTGAAAGTGCATTGCAGAATTTGGCTTTACGTTTGCAAACAACAAGCAAAACTCCTGAAGCGTCAAGTATTCAAAATGAATCAAGACGAAAAAATGATTGAAGATCAAAATTTATCGCTTGGTCAACCGCTGAGCGACTTCCTCCAACAGCTAGAAGATTACACACCAACTGTAGGATTATTTGGGTGAACTTTTTGCTTTACCTAATACCCAATTCTTTCCAGATACCTGATGCAGTTACTTGTTATTACCTGAGGAGTTCAGGCTTCGAGCCTAAAGATCCAAGACTCGTTCGACTGATATCCATAGCTGCACAGAAGTTTATTTCGGACATAGCAAATGATGCACTACAACACTGCAAGATGAGGACAACAAACTCTTCCAGTCACAGTAGCTCAAAGGTCAGAACAATTTCGCTATTAAACTGATATAGACTATTTACTGATATTTTGTTTGGATAAACCTCCAAAGCTTGTATCATATATGTTAAGTACTTGCTCCAAATTTTCACACTTTTTGAGTGAATGTGCTACATGGTACTTTCACCAAAGTTGATCTCAAAATATATTTTCTAAAGAAACTACTGTTATTTTCTAAGAACACAAGTACTTTTAGCCATACTATTTTAGTTTATGCTATTTTTTTTTTCAGAGTAAACAAGGTACTAAAGATAGGAGATATTGCTTAACTATGGAGGATTTAACACCAGCACTTGCAGAGTTTGGCATAACTATAAAGAAACCCCACTATTATGTTTAAACTTATTTTATTCATAATATGCATTAAAAAAACTGAAATTAATTTTTAACAATATAAGAAAAACTAGTACTGTATTGGAAAATTGATCAGCAGATATTTGTGAAAAACTTGTTATTATAACATTTAGATAAATAGCAAAAATATACATTCAATATACCTACAGTCTTTACATTTTTACCTTACCATATTAATTTAACTATGAGTTTTCATCCAAAAGTTTTTGTAGCAAGTTACTTGCAAGAGGTATGATCAAGTACTCGGTTCCATCAACAGATCTCTTTAGTTTAACCATTTTGTGATCAATAAATTCTGTCAATTGGGCTCTTAAAGCTAAATCTGAGCTAACAACAAAAGATTCTCTACATGCCATGTACAAATCTTTGAATGATATTCCTTGATAAAATTGATTTTTGCCATGCTCTAACTGATGTTTTACAATAACAAGGTATATACTTTTTGAATTAGATGTAAGAGAGAGGAATACATTTCTTAATGAAGATAAAGCTAGTGCTCCCGTTTGGGCAATCATCATGGATTTTTCAAAGGATGTTTCTTCAACATAAGGTGAAAAACAAGTAACATCAAACCATATATAGTTGAATTTACTCAATCTAATATGATCCCAAATCAAAGGAGCATTGATATGATCAATAGATGCTAGAAGATGGATATTTCTGACAGATGCGAGCATAGCCAAGGCATTTTGTGCTTTAGTATTCCTTAACATGTCTCCTTCAATATTATGGATCAACAGGTATAAATGTGTTTCAGGCATTGCCTGAAATTCCTCAATGATCAAATTACATGCTTCTGTAGGATTACTGGGACTTTCATTCATTTTCAAAAGATCGACAATAATGCTATCAAGAATATTTTTAATGGTAAGAGCTGGGAAAAATCCATTTACAACTATTACAGGCATGTCTTTCAAATATTCCATGTGAAATTTTTTGATAATATTCCGCTTTGAACCAAGGCCATACAATAAGATATTAAAATTTTCATTCAATAAAAAGAGCCACTTCTTAAAGTAACTTTCATTGATTTTAGTAAGCTGTTCTATACATTTTTCATGTTCTTTAGACAATTTGGAATTCTGTAAAAGTTGCTGCACTTCATGCTGTGGAAGCTTTGGAGTTTGTAGCTTATCCAAAGTATTGTTTGAAGTTTGGATTTTTGATGATGCACAATTTTCAAAATATTCTTCAGTTTTTATTGTGTACCTGCCTCTCCCACGTGTTCTAGGTGTCTGCAGGTTTGTATTTGTAATTTTGATTTTCTGATTTCCCTTTGGTTGTGGTTCATCCTCAGACTCAATAGATGAACTGGTATCTGAGTCAAAACTACTTTCTTCTGATGAGATTTCATACTCACTAGTACTATCTTCTTGAAGGATCTGCTCTATTTTGCTCTTTGTTTTCTTTCTAACTGCATGAGGAGTTTTAGCTACTTCAGCTGCTTTTTGTATCATAGCATTTCTACGCTTAGTTTCTTGGAATTTGAAAATTTCATCACCATGAACTGTTTCATTTTCGTGGATCAGTTTAGGCTTTTCTATATCAGTTTCGAAGTCTTCTTCCTCGGTAAAATACAAATCGTCTTCGTCGCTGCTGACCGTCTTCACAAATCCAGATTTTTTCAATTTCGCGATAAACAAGGACTCTAGGGCTTTCAAGCTCGGCTTCTTTAAGCGAGACGTCTTGCGTAATGGTGTTGAACTACTACTTCCGGATTCCATTATGAATTAGAAAATGGTAAAAATGTATTCTTTCAGAAACAGAAAATTAACAAAGTTTGTTTGGGATTTGAGGTTATAAATTCTAAAGTTTTCGCGCCATTTCTCACAGAATGACATACGGCAAATTCCAACATATTTAAGCCAAATTCTTTCGACGGTGGTTCTAATTCAAGGTCAACCCATGTATAACAGAATTTGACATTATAATAATCAAATTCAAGCGGATATCCAAATGGAAATGGTATTTACCATTTTGGGTTGGTATTTACCAATCCGTTCAAGCGAGTGTAGTTATCAGTTTGGTTATAAGATCCGTGACTTCACGAATCAGCTGTTATATGTCATAGTTATCACCGCAAAATTGTGGTATTTACCCAACTCAAGAGTAGTTTTATATTTCTGGTTATTATTTGAAATGTGACAAGTTAGAATTTTACCGGGTATTGGATATTGTTATTGTACTTCAGCTTCATTTTTGAGAAAAATGATACAGGCTGTCTTCAGTTTCACCATAAGCACCTTATTAGTTATACTCATTACGGTTGTTGGGGACACTTTAAATGTAGTTCCTATGCTTAACAAAGTATCCGGTGTAGCCATATACCACAAGAATATTAAAATATGGCCATATAAACTCACTAGATGATATCCACCTGTATACGGTTTTGCTAATTTCTTTTTTCATCATTTCTGTTGAATCAATAAATGTTTTCTTTGACATGCGGAAAAATTTAGAGAATTGAAAGTCATCACAGCTACAAAGCCATGGTTCCATCATTAAAAAAAAAATCTGAAAAAAACATTTCTCCCATGAATATTATGAAAGGTTTCTTATTTAAACTTTCCATATACAGTTGTAGACGAAAAAGCACCGATTATTAAGTGATAATAAAAACAATTAGAGATTATATACGCGCTTTTCTAAAATAAACAACTTGCAACAAAACCGCGGTTAAAACCAACGCGTTCAAGCGATTCGTGTAACTGACGTCATCAACCCGTGTGTCATCTTGAACCATATTATAACCGCGGCACATAACACAGAAATTTTGGTTATTCGCTTGGATTTGATTAATGACGTCATGGTTCTAAATTTTTAGAACCAGCCCAGGACGCTGGCTCTGGTTCCGGAACCTGTGGTACGGGCACGGGGTACCGCACGCCGTTTACATGATATGGATTACTTATTCGGTCCGCTGTATTCTAGCGGTTCGTACGATTGTGGAGCCAGCTTTTGGACCTACCTTCATATGCATGGAAGAGACCAACTTCAAGAGAAAACGCAATGCCTAAGATATTTCCTGGTCTCCCAAAGTATCTTTCCTAACAACTATCTGCAGTTAAAAGGAGCAATCCTGACAGTCGGAGGAGGTTGGTGATGCAAAGAAATGTCCAACAACAAAACGAGTGGCTTCAAAGTGATGTGATCGTGGATTTTAGAAGCTTTTGTGAAAATTTCCAGTATAAATAGAATACTCAATTAATGAAATGGAAATGTCACCAGGAAGTAGGTTGCATGTATTTGTGTTTGATTAACTTTGAGCATGGTGAACCTCAGATAACATATATGGTGTATTTTTTGATTCACCGGTTGAGCAACCGGTGCCACCGGTGGACCAGACATCTGTCCTTTTAATTCAACCGGTTGCTGCCATCACCATACAAAGCTGTCAACAGTGTCAACCATAAGCAGGGCATCCATCAGTGGTGGAATCAATCGGTGAATTAAAGAATCCACCTATAGTGTCAAAATAACAGAGAATATGGAAGCAGAGGTACTCTTCAATCAAGATGTAATACCAGAAGACGATTTAAGCTGGAAATCACCACAGCTTAGATAACAATGAGCTATGAAATTGTCCTGTCAGTGTTGAAGATGGCCGCCATTTCAGCGGAGAAAATCGCATGTAAATTCCCCTAGTACAACGATGAAGGAGTAGTGCTCAGCAGCAGCCGGTATTGCCACGTACTCTACCATCAGCCGCAGATATTCTTTGCAATCGTAAACCTTATCATATTCCGATACGATCTAGTGTAGTTTGTGTGAACTAATAATAAATTGTGTGAACTAATAATAAAAAGGAGTATGTTTGTCCAAAGGGGAAGGATGACTATTTATTTATGAAAAAGCTTTAAAATAAAATTGTATTGGCGATATTTACAACATAAAAATATTTACTTTTGCCATGTATTCATGGCTGCTGCGATATTCTCAACCGATTGCATTTCATTTCCAATAAAAAAAACTGTTAAAAACACCAAACAAACACAACATTCACCGAATCACAAGAATTTCCGTGTTTTCATCAACGCAATCAAACCTTACACTTCAAACGACTCCTCAACTTCTACGCAAAGGGCGAGTTTTTAATATCTAAGCAGTCGGTAGTTCCGACATTGTAAACACATAAATGAGTGAGTTATAAAAAATGTAGGCAACTATACGCTACTTGGAAAATATGCCGCTCTTCACAGGGTTATACATAATTTCATAACACAAATATACATTTTTTTTTAAATGGAACATCCTTTTCATATTCTTCGTTCACTCTAAACGAAAACTATATACAAACCATAAATTAGAGCGGCCAAGAATTTGATTAGAAAGAGCGAGGAATAGAGAAATATACAAATATTGAGTGTTACTGATGAACAATATTTCTTAAAACTCTTATTTAAATGTTCATGTGGGCTCAAAATACAATCTGACGGTCTATTCTTGCTTACTAAACAGTGGTGGATGTGCAAGAGTAGCACATGATACGGGCCCGGCGCACCAACGCTTCATGATAGTAAAAAAGTATCCCGTCGTAAGCACTGTTTCCAAGATAGCATTATTTCAAACAAATGTTACTGTTCCAAAATATAAAGCGGTAAAGAATTGTAAACGCGCGACGCTGAGGATGTAACTACATAGACATATCATACAAGAACTCATAAAGAAGTGTAATTGCTATACTTTACAAAGCTACCATTACTTTATCTGTAAAAGTGACTAACTTACAAGCTATCAAGGATCAGTGTTTTCCGGAGCTCCATAGCAGTACAAGCCCTATAGTATCCCATATCAAAGTTCTTGTATCGAAGAGGCATTTTAAAAGATAACTTAAAGAGGTTACTTTATTTGAAAAATATATGTTTGTGTTGTCATGTAGATATGAAACACCATAGGGAGAGAAACATATTTTCCTAGTAATGAGTGTATATATAGCGGCCTACAATTTTTACAAATAACTTTTTCATGTACTTTAAGTATCGGAACTATGGTCCGATTACGCATCAAAGATTCACCCTGTATGCAGAAGCATTCTTGTTGAGAAGTCATTATCAGAAGTGTTAGGTTAAATTGCGTTGGTTGCCACATTGGTGGTATGTTCTCGCTTTTTCCGCGACCAAGACACCGAAATTCTTGTGATTGAGTGAAGGTTCTATTTGTCTGGTATTTTTAGCACTGTTTACATTGAAAATGTAATGGATTGATTATATCGCAGTAGCACAGAATACATAGCAAAAGTAAATATTGTTCCGTTTATTTTAAATACTTCCACCATTACAAATTTATTTTGAAGCTTATTCATAAATAAATAATCATCAACACTACCTCGCTTTTATTTGGTCAAACATATTCATTTTATCATTGGTTATTGGTAGTATATTTTTTACGATTGCTAATATCTGCAGCTGCTGGCACGGTAGTGGCAACACTGGCTGCTGCTGAGCACTAAAACCTCTTTCATCGTTGTACTGGGGGAGTTTACATTCGACATTCTCTGCCGAAATTGCGATCGTTATTGAGTGACAGGAGAGGTCCATAGCTGATTGCTATCTAAGGTGTGATATTACCATCACCACTGAAAGTTTCTTGTCGGTCACAGATCACAGATAGAGAATATTTTGTTTTGTCACATTATTTTGAAGATAATTGTGGTAATATCAACTTAAGGACACTTCTAGATATCTTCTTCTCTATCATAAACCGACTAAAGAGTGGAGTCATTGAGATTGATGAAAATGAAAAAAATGGAGCAAATACACTTCTTGGCGGGGAAATTTTATCTTTTATATTCAGATCGTAATAGATTTTCTTCTGATCTTATATTAAAATCATTTCTTTTGAATGTGCACTCAAAAAAAGCCTATAACATTTTGAGAGATAATAAATTAGTTATTCTACTATATCCTAAATATTTATCAAAGCTCTGTAGCTCGTTAATAGTTGCAGAAGGTATATCAGAATTGGAAAAATATGTTGTTCTACAAATTGATGAAATATACATCAGAGACATTTGATTATAAGAATGGAAACATTTCTTATATCTCCAATATTTGGTGCATGAAGGAAGTTGTTTCCCTTCAACCTGTTAAAAAGAAACTTCTACAAGCTTGAGGCTGATAGGTTAATTGAGGCAACATCAAAGTTAAATAATAAAACAATATACTCTTTAAGTATTGAAAGACAGAATGTTTCTCTGGTCTGTAATATTTTCGATGAAAAGGCACATGCTGCCTTATTAAATTATAGAGAAGATATTCCGTATAATTGTAAAATGTGTAATCTCTATTGCTCATTTTAGGAAATGCATTGCTTCATTGCTTGAGAGTATTTACTATCATCAATTATATTTTTCGTTTTTATCTATTAATTGCCATATCTAGGAAGTTATTGTAGTCTATGGATTAATAAGTCATATAGAGTTTTTTATTTTTATGACAATTACATCTATACCATATTTCACGAGTATCCATCACGCTTTGACGTCCACTGAGGTGAACACTGCCGATCAGCAAGTGACATGTTTGTGTTAGTCTGCAACGGTGGCAATAATGAATTGGGTGTAAATATAGAAAACTTTAACAAGTACAAAATAAATCTGTAGCGTACAAAAAACCAAAACAAAATACAGCTTTGACTACCCGAGGTTGACGGATCCGTCAGAATTATGTGTCCTGTGCTGATATGGGGAATTTTGAAATATTACGAGATAATCAACTGTCATTGTATCGTGATGGATATTCGTGAAATAGGGTATATCCTAATAAAAAATGCAATAATTTTCTAAACCGTTCACGACATAGGGGCTTGCGGACGTAGGACTCTTCTTAACGGGCCGACCGACCCTCTGCTCTGTTTGACAGGTAAGCTACGTTGCCACATCTAAGGCTCCGGCCAAGAGTAAAGGCGGCCATGGCCTGGCTTTATGGAATGGTCAATAATTCCCTATTAATAAAACACGAATTAATAAAGCTACAAAGCATGTCAAAACTTGAGCGAACTTCACATAAAGATTGCGAGACCTTGTTTTTTTTTTAAATGCACATAGACGCTCAACGCCATGTTCTACGCTTATTAGATTTTAGAGAGCTACACCATCCTTAGAGACAGGATTACCTCCTATCTCTAGTCTTCCTGGGTCAAATAACTGTGGATTATCTAAGCTCAGATTATGATTATGACAATCCTCGGCTAGCACTTGACAAATGTGTTAATCTTCCAGCGTTCCACGTGTTGCATTTTATCACTAGATAGCACATAAAACTGTTCTATATTGGAACGTTGAAAATAGATTCCCATTTTAATCGTTTTATTTTTCCTTATACTCGATTTTCTTCTAAAAATATTTGATTTTTAAAAAATCATTTATATAAATTTCACATCCAGGGCGACGGCCAATATTTTCATGTTTTCCATCAGCTTGGATACTTTAAGCGGAAAATCATTAGACTCACTCAATTAAAATTTTATTTATAACAAGTCTCTTGATAAAATGTCTAGGTAAAATAAGAAAGTAAAATTATGTTGGGTAAAAAACTGGGAAAATATCTATACAATCAATCCGAAATCAAATATCTAAAATGGATTCTTTAAATTGTTCATCTTTGCTCCAGTATTTAGGCTAAAATTAATCCAAATAGGGTAAAATATAATTATCACAAATGGAAACATTGGTATGCCACATAAAATGGTTAATTCCTGGTACAGTTATAATCCTTAGTTTCTTATCCTTGTCAAGGGTTTTCAACCCAATTACATCGTTTTTGTACACATTACGGTCAATAAAATTAATCACTGTCCCATTTTCATTGTAGAAACCAAATTGGCTGAAAAAAAACAAGATACCATTTTCAAAATAGGCAATAAAGGAGCACAAATATAGCATATTTTTTTAGGTAAAATAATATATTCTCTAGGATTGTTGCCTATTCTCAACCTACGTATAATTAGGGCCCAGCCGCAGGTAAATGTTTTGGTTTAAGGCAATGTATGGCCTTTCACACAACCTTTGGCTGAAGTCAAATGTTTAGCTAATCAAAAATGTGGGTTGATTTTGAAAATAAAGTGGTAGAATAAAGAGCTTTAATACCCTTGGTTCTGTTTCATAATGTAAAGCTCCTAATAATATACATGTGTTCTCGGAAACGGGAAGACGGAATAGATACAAAGTCAATTGAATTGGAGGAAGGTTCTGAGCAACAGGGATAGAAGTGTAGGACTCAGACTAAATTTTGACTGTTTCATCATAGATATGGGATACTTCTGCGGCACGCGAGACGACCTTCAAAACGCTATATAGAATATAAAAGCAAAATTTGGAAATTTGTAACATGGAACAGTTCTGCACTAAGGTGATGGTTTTACATTACCATATAACAGAAATAAACTGATAATTCCTTAATCTGTTGGCTAAGATTATGTGCATTTTTGATTCCTCAACAAGCAATATTTTTGTAAAGCTTCTCATAAGTATACATTTTAAAATTGACTGAATGTATCCTAAATCAAAGTGAAAGATTTTATTGAGCCCCAAATATAATATCTCTCTATCTGTCAAGTTACCTAGATTGCCATGGAGTGATAACATTATCATCAGGACCCCCAATCAAAACTAACATATCAAGTTTTGTCAAAGCATTTTTAAATTCTTCACTTTTTGTACCAATAATTTCATTATTAACATAAGGCAGGTACTGGGAATAGTTTAAGTATAAACTGTGGTGGTAAGGATCATTCCAATAGTTGCCTACTGAAGTATGTTGTCCAACTCTGGAATAAAACAATTCAAATGCTGTTTTGAGAGCTAACCCAGGAAAATAGAAATGTAGAAACTGAGCTAAAACATAGTAAATTATCATATTTTTAAGCAAGTCAATTTATATTTATGTATTACTTCCATATTGTCCAGCTTGTGGTCCACTTAGAGAAATGTATCTATGGATATTATGGTCTGGATTTGCTTGTAATAATGTCCGGCCTAATAGCGCACCTTGGGAATAACCTACAAAAAATTGCAATGCTATCAAACCTATTATTTTTATAACATTTTACCAATTTACCCAGGAAGTTTACACCTTCAGGATGATTGTCTGTGATGTTTTTCAAATTTTCACTGAGCTGAGCTACTTGATACCACATATTATCTAAGCTAGACCATCCTCCAAACCTCTCAATGTTATATACTATTGTTCCAGGGTGTTTCTAAAATATAGGTGATAAAAGTATTGCCACTATGAACAGTTTTTAGCTTACCTGTTCTATTCTAGTTTTGATTAGTTCCAAACTTTCAAATCCAGTCATGATTCCATGTAAAAGTATCACTGGTTTGTACCCCACTACCAGAAAGAAGTTGGAAGCAAAAATTAGTAGCTGCTTCATGCTTTGAACTTCACTATGGTTCTTAAGGGTTTTTGAACTTTGCTGATTTCAGTCATAAATTACACGTGACCAGCATATTTTTTTCATTTAAAAATAGCTTAATCCAATAATAATTATCAAGCAACGTTTTTGTTTTTGGGGTTATGTTGATAAAGTTTGACAGACACGTTGTTAGAGATGGAGATTATATCACTCTCATTCACTGTTCCTGTTCCAATAGGGTGAGCGATATGCTTGGATTTGGATAAAGTAGTTTAGAAAATGTTCTTTTGGTGGGTTGGTTCTAGCAGAAGAAAACTATTCCGACAAGGGCTGTCAAAATGAATATTGATTGGTTACTGAAACCCAACGACGATACAACGCAGCTCATTTTTTGCCACAAGGTCGGCCCAACGACAGTTCAGGATTTTGAGGTGGTCATATTCGACTTCAACGCATCACCGATTCATACTAAATCCGTTTTCTGGTAGATTTTAAACATAAATGATACATGTTTATAATAACTAAAATCATATCGAAATAATAAAGTCTAACTAGCAGTTGAACAAACTAGTAATATAGTTTAAAAATAATAAAACATAATTCTAAAACTAGTAATATAGCTTTCGTTCGTTCGACCACAGACTGCCAATCATGGACAGCTGTTTCGTGCTATTGGGCAACTCTTCAGCATAGTGTAGGCTGGCTCTCGGTGCACAACTAACGAAATCTGAGCAAATGTACAGCTTTTTCAGCCAGTCCGACGGCCAACCGGACTGGCTCCGCGCCTGAACCGTGGCAGAAAAGTTGATGCCTTTAGACAGGGCGCTTGTTCCCATACGCTATCTTTCCTGTAAACAGTGGGAACCCAGCTTTATTACCCTCTTCACCCCATTATACCGACAAAGTTGATGCGCCTGCATTTGGAAAAGGCGCATGTTCTCATACACGTGGCAAACCATGTGAACCTAGCTCTAGTAGCAGGTCCCACATTGCGGAAAAGTTGACGTGACTCTTTCATCACAGCGTAGGGTCTCGTTCGCTATCGCGTCCGTCGGCTGATTATGCGTTTTGGTGGAACCTGTAATCTCGTACGGTACCCTCATAGCTCCGCCGACCAAGGGGGAGAACCTAGCTTTAACAGTCGGTCCGCAATAGTAGACGCAACTGTGTTTGGTCAGGGCGCATGTTCTATACTGCCCGCAAATGGTGTGAGTCTGTATTTAACACCTGGGCCGACATGGCTGGAAAGTTGATGCGCCTGCGTTTGAACAGGGTGCGTGTTCTCATACGCTATCCTGCCAGCACGCGGTGTGAACTCAGCTTTAACAGCCTCTCGGTCATATCTCGACGGTAAGGTTGTGTGTTCTCAGCCAGTTTGACATGGTGGAATAGTTGACGCAAGTCTATTTGGCCAGGGCGCACGATATCCTACCGATAAGCGGTGTGAACCCAGCTTAAACATTCGGTTTGTCAGTCACGGCTAGGTTGCGTTTGGACAAGGAGCTTGTTTCTCCCGCACTAGCTTCCCGCCTCGCCGGTATGTGGTATGAACACAGCTTTAATAGTCGTGGCGTGGCGGCAAAGTTGTCGCGCCTGCGTCTGGATACGGCGCGTGTTCCTCGTACGCTACTCGTGCCGGCAACCGGCCGTTGCGCTCGCGTCAGTTTGTTCAACGGTCCAGTTTCAGTTCTTCTGTTCCAGTTCCATACGGTCAGGATTCTGAAAGGACGTACGCACGAGGAGTGCGGAGGCTCCCGCGACGCGAAGCCACGCGAGCGGTCGCAAGGTGCCGCTTTGAAGGTTAGGGTCGAACGACGCGGACAGACAACGGATTGTGATGGACACTGTTGGTATTGTTGCTGCGGACAAAGAACGCGGAATCCTAATGCAGTTTCCCACGATTTAAGGTAGAATTTAAGTTGTTTTACGTTATATCAGGTGTACTTTTGGAGCTGATTCTGATAAAATAAAAATAATTAAGTTTTTACAGATAGGCGCAGATAGGTCAAAAAGATATAGATATTGATAAATTATGCACAGTTGAATATTCAATCTTGGCTGCCCTAGGTCAGGTAAGTTTTTGGAGGGTGCTGGTGAATGAAAATATTGCAGCGGGAGAGAGACAGTGCAGTCTTAAACCATTTCGGGGCACTGTTTACAGACAAGCTTCCGGGCCTGCTTCTGAAGAGGCAACTGGTCACAGTGGAATATCCGGGGCGCTTCTTTTACGCTAAATTGAAGAGCGGCGAGCGGAGGTGGAACACAGACATTTTTCCAAATTTTCGTTCGTTAGGAGTAATTGGTTCCTCATCAAGACGGGTTCTAGGCAAGTGCCCATTATCCCATAGGTGAAGACGGAATAGGGAGGTCCAACTGTGACAAAATCCTTTCGCAACATTAGTCGGCCCTGATATGTGGCAAATCCACCCCTGGATCTACGATCTTTTTCTGGTGCAACCAAGTGCTCTATTTTGTGAGCAAACAAAGGCTCCCTTCTTCCACGCCCCACACCTTGCCTTGGAATGTACAAGACGCAGCGTTGTTAAACGAACCAATGATGCAATGTTGCAGAATTTATGGCGATCCTGACCTTTCATTTTCAGCTAAAATGGAGCGCCGTTAGGACCGATGCGGAATCGACCCTAAACATATTCGACACAATTCACAATTGAAGAATGTGTACGCTAAAAACAAAAACCTTATTTGGGTGTAGAGGATAAACTAACGCATATTTTCAACATGTATCTTACTTCAAGGAATTGGTGTAACGTATTGGTAACGCCGCAGATTGGTCGACCTTCTGCGTTACCGTTGCTACGTAATGTGGTGATGACCTTCACTGACCAGCCGGCGGCTTCTTTTTTTTCTAACATACACACTTATCGCGCTTCTCTCTCGTACTCATTAAACTCAAGTCGTCAGGTGATTTTAGTTTTCCCTGTATATCCTATGCATGAATGTAGAATATACTTATTTGAAAACTTTTAATCAACTTCCTCCAGATATAAAAAAATTAATTTGAACTTCTTTAAGAGAAAAGTTCCCCCCTTTTTAATAGATCTAGAACCTTATTGTCTCGATGACTATTTAGTATGATTCTAGTTTTTTTCTCTCAGCTGTTCTCTTGTGATGACGTTACATCTTAGTGATTCCATCATTCACAATTGAGATAATCACATCAACACCGTCTTGGTACTGTTAGATTTTTCGACAGCCTTTGATATGGTCAATCACCAGATACTACTGAGTAAGTTATTTCATTATGGAATGTCAGATATAGTTCTAAGGTTCTTTGAGTCATACTTGCTAAATCGTCAACAAACAGTGAAAACTGATCAGGGAATTTCCTCCACTGAGCCAGTTCCTTCAGGAGTTCCACAGGGCTCAGTATTAGGTCCCTTACTATATCTGATTTATCGATCGATCTGTAAGACTGTTTAGGCCACTGTAGTATGCAAACTTATGCAGATGATACTCAGTTAGTATTTGGTTTTGATCCATCAAAGGTTGATGAAGTTTCTTTTAAAGTTAATTTAGATTTGGCTAACATCAGTGATTACTGTAACAAACACTGCTTGAAGATCAATCCCAATAAAACTACTGCAATGCTGTACTGTTCGAAGAACTCCTACCGTGAAATGAAGCAGAGGATTCGTGTTGTTTTGGATGAGACACTCATCCCTTTTGTGGATTACGACACGAATCTCGGTGTTACCCTTGACTTAAATATGAGATTCGATAGGCATGTCTCTTTCCTATCTAGAGTAACGTATATGCGTTTGAAACTCCTCTATTCTAATTGATTCATCCTGAATATTAAAACCCGAAAAAAGCTCGCCGAAAGTCTTGTGTTGTCTGCAATTTCTTACTCTCTTGTTCTTTATTACCCATGTTTAGACTACATCCACAAAAGGAAACTCCAGAAAATTCAGAACAGCTGTCGTAGGTTTATTTTTGGATTGCGCAAGTTTAGTCGCGTCTCAGATAAAATCAAAGAACTCAACTGGTTGCGAATTGATAACGTATTTTTATATCTTTTGACCGTCTTCACGCATAAAGTTCTATTATCTAACAGACCAGCTTACCTCGCTAGCAAATTAGTTCACCGTGGTAGTTTTGTTACCAGAGCTCTTATATTTAATGCTAATTTTAACATGCCTCCTCACAATACCTCGGTCTTTGAAAGAAGTTACACCTATAATGCTGTCAAGCATTACAATGCAGTCAACAGTGGCTATCGATCCAAACAGGTTGCTTCTTTTAAGAAATTAATGAAAAGTCAGCTGCTGGAGTCTATTTAGTTCAGTTTTTCTTGTGTTCATGTGCTATTTTTTTTGTTTTTTTGACTATTTTCTACTATTTTTGTTTCAAATTTAAAACTCTCACAATACTATCTGCATTTGTCTCGTGCAGTCAATGTTGTCATTCTTATGGACTATATTTTTTTGGTATGCTATTATTTTGTTTATGTATTTCAGTATTTTTTTCCTGTTGTGAGGTTGGGTGTAAGAGTAGCCGTCTGGCTAAACTTCGCCTCACTGCAGCTAATAAATGCATTATTATTATTATTATTATTATTATTATTATTATGTTAAGTCCGAAAAATATCGATTTTCTGATTTTGTTCCGTTTTGACTCCTGTATGCATAAATCGACATTTTCGGACTTACGAGGTATTGATTTGAGATCGTCGAAATACTGATCGCATAGACCACAGTAAATACTGATCGTGTAACATTCACCTAACTTGTACACAACTAAGCTAGTTAAAACTTCGACAAAGCCGCATCCCTAACTGTACAAAACACTCCAATTGCATAATTTACTTGTAAGTCACTTTTTCCTGCAGTGTGCTGGAAAAAAGTTTGTATAACTTCGACAACGTTCAGGCAACTCAATTATGCCATGTTCGGAAAGGCACAACAAACTAACAACTACTAATTATCAGAGGTTGGAGGTAAATGAGTTCCAAAGACACAACGAAAGGCGTTACAAATATACCGGGAACAGTAGAAATGTATTCACTATTTTTTATTTTCAAAGCCCCTTGTCAGTATTTTATAACCTAGGGTTACTATCTTTTAAAAAAGAGTGGACTAACGGACTGTTACAGATGAGCGTTTTGGAATGATCTATCAAGTTTCAAGTTTTAAGTTTATTCAAATTCAAAAACCAATATAACTTACAAATTAAAAACAACCTTCAGTACTATTTAAATAAAAAAAAAGCTTCAAAAATACATGAGCTTGTATGCTCTTGCTACCCTGAATAACCAAGATTGCAACAGAAATCTGAGCAAAGATACTAGCATCAGATCTAGAACCAGCAAGTAACGGTATATGAATTGTGAAAAT